CATCAAAGGACCCTGAGGGCGAGAGACACGGGGTGAGCAGGAAAGAGGGTTAAGAGAGAGGGACAGAAAATAGGGCAGGAAAGTCTTACCACAGTTTCTCCCTCCAGAAATATAAAGAGGCAGTAAGACTTTCAAATGGAAACTGTGATCAGTGGCTGCACTGTTTTAAATTGGCTTATTAAACAGCTCGTTCAAGTCAAGCCAATTAAAAACAGGCTTAATTTGTTTGAATGACACTATTGATTTCTCTGCCTTGACTAGGAACATACTGCAGGAGACTCCTGCTCTGTCTCCATTATACTCACGTCAGGGTCGCACTCTGCCATGGCCTCCCCCAGGTCTGAGTCCAGACCTCCTGCGTATGTGTGCTCTATCTTGTTCTTAGCACCCTCTTGTGGTGAGGGGATGTGATGTATGCACATGTCCACAAAGCCTGCAGGGAAGAGATTCATGTCTGGCTTTACATGTTCACGAGGCAAGACCATTTATCTTCAGATTAAGATTGTAATCTTGACATATTGCGTAAAGCTGTAAAATGGATACGGTGCCTCTGTAGTATTTACAGTTATTATTTATTTTTTCTATACAAAATGATAAAATACTTAATCAATAGCACAAATAAAATAAATCAAAACAAATGAAACCGTACCAGTGAACTCTCCGAAGAAGCGGTTACAGACCAGCCTCAGCAGGGGTCTGATGTTCAGCTTCAGTTCCTCTTTACTCAGGTGGATCCCCAGCTCATCCAGAACTCGGGGGAGAGATGTGTCCACATCCCCAACCACCTAGACACAAAGAGGATTTGGGTGAGGATTACACAATGAGGTTGGCAACTCAGCCTGAGCCTGATGGGGCCTGAAGGTACTGAGCTAGCTGTGTAGCCTTGTTACACATTTGGAAAATATATATATATATCTCTGACCTGTGAGAGGATCTTGTAGAGAGGCTCCAGAACAAATTCCACAAAGCTGCGCTGAGAATTACTGCTGGGAGCTTTCTTTGTGAACTTGCGGCTGAACAAAAGAAAAGACATTGACAAATAAGATTATGTTAAAAGAGGAGAATGGCTTAGCACGTAATATTAGCATTCTGTTGAAATCCAAATGAGTGACTCACGTTTTGGGGTTGAAATAAATGTCTCCCCAAAGCCTCTTTGAAAACTCATTATAGTTGATGTCACCTGCAAACACAAAGAGAGGCGTTAGTTAATACCTCACCAACTGTTTGTGAGAGCATTGTGCCGAAGAGCTGTCTTACCGTAGGTGTCTGAGTAGATCTTTGCAAAGGACCCCAGGGTGAAACAGATACTGTACTGAGAGCTGGCGAAGCACACGTTTCCAAGGAGGGGAGAGACCACCAAGTTCTCATCTGTGGAGTATGTGCTGAAGGAGGACAAATAACCAAACCATGAAGTCTCACTTGTAGCGCTGCATCGCGCTCTCCAGACAATGTGGACATTATGGATTTTAAAGCATTACCTGAGCAAACCATTGACCTCATCCACAATGTGACGAAGTTTATAATAAGCGTCTGTGGGAGGCAGTTTGAGCTCCACGATGAGCCGGTCCACCTTGTTGATGCAGATGGTGATGGCCATACGCTCCTGGACTGCGTGTTTGATCAGACGCTCTGTATTCAGCATCACCTGGGCAGAGACACGCAGAGGTCGGGGTTATATGGGAAGCTGAAGAACGTCAACATATATGCATAAGTGCAGGATTGGGAGAAGACCTAAATAAATAAATAAGTGACTCACTCCTTCTGCTGCATCGATGAAGAGGACAACACCATCTGAGATCCGGATGCTAGACGTGACCTCGTCAGAGAAGTTGACGTGGCCTTTGAGGGACACACAAGGTTTTACATCACTTTCTGCTATTAAAACATCAAAACCCCAAACACACACATTCAGGAATCAAAGCATCCAGCAGACAAACTATACCTGGTGTATCCATGATGTTGAACAGGTAGGATTTGCCTCTGGAGTCTGGCAGGACCATTGTGACAGGGGTACTCTTGATACCAACTCCTCTCTATGGAAAAAGTACAAGATATAATATAATTCTAATCCTATTATTTCAAAAGGTTATTTCCTTAAAATTATCATTTCTGGTGACACGGTCCTGCAACCTCCTCACCAAACCACTCACCTCCTGCTCTGTAAAGAGGATGTCTGTGTATCGCAGCTGGGGGGGGGAATCAAAAGTCATGTTAGTTTCTGTTGTCATACCCACAAGTGTAATAAATAATACTGTGTGTTTATTATTACAGTCAACACTCACATCCACATCATCTCTCTTCCTGATTTCTGGGTGCGTCTGTTCAATCAGGCAGTCCACAAAACAGGTCTGAATGGAATAAACAAATTCATTAAATCCCCAAATGCTCCAAAAGATTCATTTTAGAAACACGTGTCCTCTTTTGGCTAAATGCCACAGAAGAGCCTCGACTGCAAACCCGTGGCTAAAAAGAGAAACTGAGCCAGAAGCAGCCGTCGGGCAGACGCTAACCTTGCCGTGGTGAAGGTGACCACACAGGGTGACGTTACGGATTAGCTCAGGACCGTCCATCAGATCTGCAAGGAATCTGCCAACAGACAGGAGGGAGATCACAGCTTGAGAGACACTCAGTGAACACGTGTAGATGGAAGACATGAACTGAATACTCAAGATAAGTCAAGTGCTGTTAATCCAGCTACCACCTGGATGAACGATCGTATAAAGAAAACAAACATCATGCACATATTGCTGCAGATGACTCACTCCATGTCGTAAACAGTGGCAGGTAACTCCTGTTCCATCAGGGTGAACTGCTTGTTCTTCACAGGCTTGATGATGGGCTCTGGAGTGGAGAGAAAACAACAGCGTTTGTGTGTTTACCTCAACTGCATATGACTTATTAGCATCACACACTATTATAAACATGCGAAAACATGTGGATGACGTAACCAAATCCTACTTTAATGTAAACTGTGGTGCTCTTTTCTTTGAATCTAACCTGTAAGAGGTTGTGTGTCTTCCTCTTGAACAATCGTTTCCACTTCGGGCCCGTAAACCTCCTCCGCTGTAGGATAGTACTTCTTGTCCTCGTGCAGGACCACCTCCATACCCGGGACATCTTCATCCGCATCAGCAGGCTCGTCGTCCTCATCTTCATCACCCTGCGCGCGGAGAGAGTTACTGTTGCCGTCCTAAAAGCACTACCTTACAATAACTGTCTGTACTGATTTTGAAGAGTACCTCGTCAACATCTCTGTCCTCTGCATCCAGATCATCTTCATCATCATCAGAGTCCAGCTCTGGACCGATGTAGTTTCCAAACTCGTCGTAGAGATCAGCCTCCATCTCAGTAGAGAGCTGAAAGAGGGCTCATATATTTATATATATATATATATATATTCACATCTTTCATTTATTGCAAACACAATATCTAAACAGGATCCAACATTTTATATGAGACACACATAAAGTTAAAGACCTAAAGTCAGCTACCAGCAGTTGAGAGCAAGTGAGAACTTCTTAATTCTTTCTGTTTCTGACTCTAACCGGTCAACAACATGAAGTTTACCACTACAGCCAATGCTAACTCCGCATGCAGCATAAACACGAACAACCGGTTTTAAAATAGATATTTATTAAACTTACAGAAAAGTTGCGTCGGCAGAAAAAAATCTGACTAAAATCTGACTCAAGTAAAAACTCGTAGATGATTAAAAACTGCTCTTTTTCTTGTGTTAACGATACAATGAGCGAGCACAAAGCTAACGATGCTAACGATGCTAACGATGAATGACCGGCGACGTTTTAAAGCCTTTAAGCTAACGATAGCTTCCCGCGCTGAACTAACGTTACAGCACGTAACTTACCTGTGTTCTGTTTTAATGCACTCGGCGAAAAATATTCTCAAAATAAGATAAAAGTTTTGGGGAAAATCTGTTCAGAAGAAAAATAATGTCCTAAAAAACCGCCATGCGTACGAGATACGACGTCCGGCTTTCTTCTTCTGTTGCTCTGAAAGGTGTTGCGCGTTCGACGTTGCGCTCACTATCGCCCCCAGTGGTGGGCCGGGTACGCGTGAAACAGACTATTAGACAAAGTATCGAGCTTTTAATACGCAAATATCGCGAAAAAAAGATAGAATTTGCCACCAAATGAAGTTGCATATTTAGTTTATTCTTAATACATTCAATATCTGGCGCCTCAGTCGTGGTAATAGTAATTCACCGCTTTTGGTTTTATTTTGAATGCCTGCACCGGAAGTGTTAGTATACTATCACGTCTGCCTCTTGACGTTCGTGTACAAGTTTTAATTTAAACGGGTTCGCCGAAAGGTTGTGAGTATGTCCTGCATTTAACTGCATATACAGCGTAACCATGTGACAAATTAAATTAATAAATTACAACACGGTGCGAGAATAGGCATGAAATAAAGTGAAGGTAGCCGCGATAGCATGCTCTGATTTCCGGTAATGCCTTTAACAATAAAAGCCTTTAAATAGGGAGCGCTGTAGTTACGCACTGTGACCACTGGAGGGCGTTAAACATTCATACATAACATCCATAAACTCCAGTTGGTCATAAAATTAATAAACCTGAAAATAATGCGTTTGGGGAACAAGGCAGTTTGATTACTAAATAAAAATTAAGTCGTAGTAGTACCTAGTATACTCTATAAGTAGGCCTAACAGAGTATTTTATTAGAACCATAAACTTATAAACTCATAAATCTTAAACTAAAAACCCCAATATGGATAAAACCAGGGACTTTATAAGCAATAATATGACTTAAACCAATTAACTTGTGCTGGGTTGATATAGAGTTGTAGTATACATTGCCTAAATTTCAGATAAGTGAAGTATTAAGTATTTGTAAGAAGTACTGATGTTCAAATATAAACTGTCCTTTCTGTGACACTGATTGATGATTATCAGGGAGATGGTTATGGATTATTGAATTATTGATGAGGTGTAATGACAGTATAAATTCAGACACAGGCAGAGTTTCAGTTGATGGCTTTATTCCTGCTGGTGTTTAATATTTCCTTCAGTAGGCCTGGCCTACACCGTAAAGACACAGACCGATAAACAAGTCCAACAAACAAACACACTCTTACAACTTAAGTCATACATTTCAAAATCAGACATATATTCTCTGAGAAATTGATAAAAATAATCTGTTGAAATGCCCGTTTCCACCACATGGCAGTGTACTGTGTTCATTTATTGAATCAGAATCAGCTTTATTGGCCAAATATGTACACATACAAGGGATTTTACTGCAGGTTTTATATTGCTTTCAATGAACGTATACAAGAATAGACATAACAAAGCTGAACAAATATAGATAGGAGTACACAGGACTGTTTATGAGTCTATAATTTAATATTTCATATTCAATAAAAAGTGCAGTTTGTAAGAAAACACACTTATAATTGTTATTTGAGCGCAACCAGTCACTTGGTTGACATAATTGTCCATAACAATTTTAAATATTGCTAATTAAAGCAGTCACACAGATTCCCCAGCTGACCCGGTTTAACACAGAGTCCCATTGAAGGGAATTTATTATGCAGATGCCCTCAAACTGCAAAGTTATATGCTTACTAATCTTTTTTTTTTTTTTTTAAACAAAGCATTGGATTTGTCATTGAGTTCCTGTCTTTGGGTGACAGTGGCAGGTCTCCATAATCATTACCCTGCTGATGTTGAAGATAGACACTCTTTACTTTGCTTTTTACTGACAGTACAGATGATTTTATTGCCTTGAACTTTACTTTCTGGGACTATTTTACCTGAGAATATGACTATTAGTGTCAACTGGCCCATTAATGGTCTCCTTTGCCCCCCCCCACCACCTCTGTCTCTCTGTTAGTGTGTGACCCCCCCTCTACTCTGTCACCAGCTTCCTCAGCCGCTGCACCACGTCCTCCGCGCTCACCCACGGGACCGTGACCGCCTTGAACTCCCCGGGCATGGCTTCGTGGGTCTCCGTGATCAGTCGGTGCATGGGGAAGTCCCGCCGCGGGAAAACCACGTCCCGGGGTCCGAAGGAGAGCGCCGGGCAGAAGTCGTTGGCTCCGTCCCCAACGTAGAAGAGCCTCTGGTAGGGACGGCCCCTCTCCTGCGTCCTGCGGGCCACATAGTCCCTGACCACCACCTGCTTGCACATGTTGTCGGGGCACCGCGGGCAGTCGTGGGAGTGGAAGGGCTTCATCACCAGCCGGCCGTCCTTGTTGAAGGTGGCTGGGTTGGTGAAGATCCGGTGGAAGAGCTGGCGGGCCCCTGCGCGCCGGAGCCAGGACTCGATGAAGAAGGTGTTGGCGTCGGACAACAGCACCACCTCAAAGTCCCACTGGGGCCGGGTGCGGAGGAACTGGAAGAGGGTGATCATGCCGGGGGTGGCCGGTAGCTTCTCCATCACGTTGCGCATGTCGCTCTCGGTGACGCCCTGCTCCGCCAGGTAGGCCAGCACCCGCTGCATGTACTCGTTGTAGCGGCCGGGCTGGTAGGTGTCCTTCAGCCAGCCCGGGAGGTGTTGACCCGGGGCGGCCTGCACCACCATGTCGTCGCTGGTCTCATCCACGATGGTCTCGTCGAAGTCAAAGAAGATGAGGAAGCGCTTGTCGGAGGGGATGTGAGTGGACTGGGAGGCCATGATCTCCGTGCGTCTGGACCTTGGGGGCTCCCCCTCGCCTGGGGGATTGGGTGGAACATAACAGCAGGTGAAGATTGAATCCCCCATGATTGACTATGCCACACCTCTTACTGTTGCACCAAAGTGGCACCAAATCTCCTCTCCTGCTCTCCCACTCTCTCCAGCATCCCACGCAAGGCAGGCCACAGTAAGGTGGAGGCTACCGAGGATTTCTGGGAAATATCAGTGAATAAATAGACGAAGGATTGGGGGTAAAAAAAAAACAGGATCAGATATAAATGTAATGGATATAATAATCTGAACATCAGATAGATGAACGGGGTATGAAAAAGCCCTAAAGAGAGCAGCCAGCAGCGCGTTCCTCTGAACAACATGTGAAGGACTTTTCTACAGAGGTAGTGAAGAGGAGGAGGAGGAGGAGGAGGAGGGGAGGAGGGTGGGCGCATCCTGCTGAAGCATAAATGCAAATTAGGGAGATAAACATGGATTATATTCGGATCTGAATGAAAACATGTAGCTCTATGCAGATCCTGCAAGCAAGCAAGCACATTTATCAGATCCCATCAGCCCCCCTGTCTCACAGCCTGCAGGGGTTGTTGCTGCCTGTGTACCTCTGGGTTGTAGGTGGTGTCAGCAGTGGATATCCGCTGCTCTCATGTGTTTCTCTGATCCCCGATCAGGGCGCCTTCAGGCTGGCTTTGTCTGTCTGCGGAGGAAAAACAACAAAAAAAAAAACACACAATGAAGGCTGAATTACATCAGACAGTGTGTGTGACAGCATCATGCCTCAAAGAGCAGCCGAGTTTAAAGATCAATTCTTCAGCAATGCTCACAGGTAGACTCAGAGCCCCTATAATAACCTTATAATAACTTAATTAATCCTACATGGAGATTATCAATATACATATTTATTTATGTATAAACAGAAATAAACGACTACAATCAGGGTCTGTTTGGGAAAAAAATAAAATGTGTCAGTCTGCCAACTTCATCTGCAGATTGCTAAACTAACCTACTTTCTCATAATCCACAACAACCGGGAGCATTGTGCCTCAGATCAAACTTGGAGGAATAAATTCTTGCAAATAAAAAATAAATAAAATAAAAAGAATTACTGTGTCGCTGGTTCCGATCTTCCCGGTGTCGGTCAGCTCCGATCCGGTTCCACGGAGAGAAGAGGCAGAGTTCCGCCGGTCGGCCGGTGGGACGCGCACTTTTATGTGACAGTCAAAACCACCGGAGCCACTGCGGACGTGACCGCGCCTACAAAGTCCGCCCCTTTAATAGCTGCCTACTGAGCGCGTTCACGACACTTTCAAGTGAGAGAGGAGGGAGGGAGGAGGGAGGGAGAGAGGGGGGAGGGAGGAGGGAGAGAGGGGGGGGGAGCAATGTGGGAGGAAAGGAAGGAAGAAAAGAACGACTGACAGCAAATATTCTGTTTCCTGAATCTGCAGTATGACAAGTGAATGTGTGTCTGTGATCTGTGTCTCTGGGCAGGTTACAAACTCCTACTGCTCTCACCCACCGCCCTCACCCACCTCCCAGTGGAACATTTGCAAAAAGGTGAGACACACCGGTGGAGAGTAAACACTCCTGGTACCCGCTCAGAAGAGAACCGAGGGAAACATGTGTCTGGGAGGGCAGTAAACTTTATCCAACTAATGCTGTTCAGTGTCCTGCTGCTGCAAACCGTTAAAGACAGTGTAAACATGTATTTCACACACACACACACACACACACACACACACACACACACACATATATATAAGTGCTTTCCTGACAAACTAAACAAAACAAACACCCTCCCTCAACAGGATGATAAGGATTTGGGTCAGTGTGCCAGTACAGTGGAAAAACACCCATTCTGCTCCTGAATCTGTGCTTGACCTCTGACCTCTATTGTTAGGGAGAAACAGGGAATGGAATAAAACCGCAGCTCATCCGAGAGGCCGATTGGAATAAAACAAACGACGCACATCAAAAGTTATATACAATTCTTAAAAAAAAATCTGAAACAACTCTGTGTTTCCACTAATTAACTACAGAGAAACATTAGCAGTCGCAGCGAGTTTCTGCCACAGGACAGCGGTCCCAGATAAAACCTCGCACACAAACACACTGATTAATGAGGCGCACAGCAACTTTCAGAGCGGCAAACGCTCGCCTGAAAAACACGGCGTGAAGCCCTCCTCTCCTTATCTGCCCGCTGACAGACGCCCTCCCTCCTCTACACCACAAGGCGTAATGACTAACAGCTGGGGTGGGCTGACTATTTTCAAACCCAAATGGGAATGGAGATGTACAGACGGTGTGTTATTATCTCCTCTGCTCATGAAGTGAGCCTCGGTACCTGACCACCCACTCACCATCAGTGAGTCACTCACACTTTTCTCTACCCGTCGGCCCCGCAGCCACCTTATAGGATTGTGTGACTCACTGGTGCGCCACTTAAAACCACCCATGGTGATGGAGGGCACACAGCGTTTTAGGAAGCATTCCAACAACAGTAAATGTCTTAATGTGCCCTCAGAGGAGGAACACTCTGTTAATGGAGGAAGAAAAGCTGGTTGAGTTGGAGGAAACAGATATCCAGGAAAGGATGACATTCTTGTTTTGACTCTCGCTTTTGATATTTAATATAAGCAGGTTATGACTTTGTCCACACACAGCTGCTCCTCTAATGGTATGATATTACCATCTAATGGCTAAACAGAGGTTACAACAATCCAATGAAACCTACTGCAAGGCTTCCTCGGGTCATCTGCACAAACAAACATACACTCGATTTAAAAAGAGTCAAATGAATGGGGTTTTTTTTTTTTTTGCTCATAATGCGTCACAGGGGAAGAACAGGAAGTGGTCACAAAGAGAACCTAAAACCACGCTTGTCAAATAAAAGCCTTGGAAAGCAAAGGTCAGGGACTGAACCTTCAGTGTCGTGTGTAGCCAGCAGACGTTGTTTGGTTACAGGCGTTATTGCCAAGAACCCAGTCACCCAAAAATAGTAAAATTTAGTAAAACAGCACTCAAGCTAATCGAGTCTGTGCAGTTGCAAGACTCAGCTGGAATTTAAGCTGTACAGCAAAGCTTAGTGTGAAAAGCTGAAACTGAACCCTCTGACCCGCCATCAGGAGCACGTCGTACACAATCCTTCTTGTTCTACATTTAATGTGTAATCAGCTGTTCTTGATTGGTTAACCGGCCGTTCACTGTGAATCTGAAGATAAAAAGGAGGCACACAAATATGTGATAATCATGGCTACTTGTTTTTACTTCTCAAAGTTAGCAGTCAGTTAAATGTACATTATCAAAAAAGGCCCAACTTTTTCACTTCTCCCCAATCTCCAGATAACATACAAAAAAAAAAGGACAAACGAGGACATTATAAAGCTGCACATTTTGTACCAGATACAATAATAAAATACGCAATGCTACATTAAGTGGTTAAAAATACAAAGGGGAAAAAAGTATATTGATTTTTTTTTTTTAAAACATCTTTAGAGAACATACAATGTTATTTTTCTTAACTAGCCAAGAATTTTTTAGTAGAAAGTGCATTCTATATAACAAAGAAAGGAGGAGGAGAATCATTCAGCAAACTTAAGAAGACGAAACTGGACATGACGAAGAGAGAAACTCCGTGAACGAACATAACAGAAGAATGTATTTCAGACATAGCTTGGAGGGGCTAGTGGAAAGTCGCCAAAGCAGGAGGAACATCGATTTCACTTTGAGGGGGGAGGTCCATATCGGAGCCAAAGCGTATTTCTTTGACAAAAAGAAAAAAAAGGAAATTAAATTTATGCACATACTTTAAAAGAAATGTCCTGCGTTTGCTAAGGTCCCTTCCACACTACCCGCCTCCGCCCGGGATTCTCCTCCTTTCCTTGCCTAAAAAACATCCACTCAAAGTAATCACCTCCACCCTTTCACATGCAGCCATAACTGCACTCTGTTCCACAATGCATTGTCAGTCCCTCGCTTCCCTGCGCCTCACCCACGCAGCAGTAAAGTGCAGAGAATACACACAAATGAAAAGGCTTTAAAAAAAAAAAAAAAAAAAAAAATTATTACAAGACAAAAGATCCATACTGCAAAATGCTGAAGCACAGCAGTGAACCCGAGGGGGGCCGGATGATAAGCAATTAATGCAGCGGTATTAAGACCCACAGAAATGGCAGGATAATTGCAGGTCTCAAATCAAAAATAGGGGGGGCATCCTAAACTACTGAGTTTAACCACTTCAGACTAAATTCTGTTTGAGCGGTAGACAGAATCATGTTAAATTTACTGCTATTATCCAACTCAGGTATCCCCAAATACACATATATTGGGGCACACTGTGTAAAAGCAGCTTTTGGTACAAGAGCACTGGGGACAACCAGACAGACAGACTGGTAGAGACTAATGCATGCACACAATCTCTCTCTCTCTCTCTCTCTCTCTCTGTCACACACACAGCTCAATGTTGTTCCTTAACACACATCTGATAGCCGTCAGACTGGGTGAAGGGCTAACAACCAGGCAATCCAAATTCATGCCAAATACCTGCCAATCATTTATGCTTCTTTTAAAACAAATAACATTCACACCATCGGCTATTACATTTATAAATGTAATTTCTTGCGCTGACTTGATCACATGTATGCCTATCTATACAAGAATTCAAAAAGTATAAGAAGTCGTATGACCACTGCCTTTTATCCTGACATTTCCTATCATGTGCTGACAACAGTATATCTACACTGCAGAACCATTCATTAGCTTAAAACGGAGAACATTAAAAAAAACAACATATGAATGACTCATCAGCCATTATTCTGCGTAGGCAACATTCAACAGGTTTAGACACGCGTTTGCCTGTGTGGATCAAAGTGTGACAGTATGATCAAAGTCAAATAAAACAAAACCTCTACATTACGACGACGCCCCACACCAAACCGTGGAATATAGGCTGAAAGGAATATGCATAATTGCCTGTTAAGAACTATGATGAAAAAGGTCCCAGGTGTGTATACTGTGTGTGTCAAATGACCTTTAACATGGTAACCCGTATCATTTAGACAGCAGCGAAGGAAGGTGGGGTAAATCCTGATGGGGCCATGTGTCTGGCCCCTCACAGTGGCAGTATTTGACAGTCATCTGTTATCTAAAAGCATCTGTTGACCAACAGTACTGAAAGCTGAGGTTGCACTGATCACAGTAAGTAAATCAGTGACCATATGGTCTTTTGTGTGTGTGCTTGAGTAAGTGTGAGGGTGTGTTTGTCCTGCATAACTTGAGTTTCTTCATCACAAAATATCTACTCAAACCTTAAATCCATTGTAGAAAAGCCAGGCTGGCAAGACATGTTCTGTATGAGACAATACATTGTAATTTTGTAATATTACACTTCTGAAAATAAAATGAAAAAACAAAATTAAGAAATATTTTATGTACTGGAATGGAAAGCACCATTTAACCAATATATGAATCTAGACTATGTCTAGATTCAACTAACCATTTACAAAACCTTTTTTCCAATGTCCTTTACAAAAATTCCTCCCCGCCTTCTTACTGTAACCTATGGCACTGCGTCTTGCACTACTGCTGTTGCCCTTCTGACAACGCCTCAGCCGTGGCCTTAGGACAAAGAAAGGCTCAGGTAGAACCAGTTACAACATTCAATACACATTTCTGTGGGGGTCGAGGCTCTGCAGTACAACTAGGAGGACAGGTTGAGTATTGCAATGGGGAGGACCTGCACAAAAAGCAAAAGTTCTGACCAATGTGCAACCATAAGTCAACTTGAAATAAAGAGGAAAGTTCAATGAGACTGATCTTTGATGATCCATGAAGCCCAGATAATACATATGTTGACTTCCATCAGCAGCTTTTGATGAAGAGGAGATACTCTACACCCATCAATGTATGGATTGATCTTTTTGTGTAGCTTTCCTAAGAAAATGTTCAAGAAAAAAATTCTAGAGGCTGTAAAATCTTTGTCAGTTCACCAGGGTATTTAAGTATGGGTCTTACTTAAATATCATGTGCACTGAGTATGTATCAGTCTGGTATGTTTAGCTTGACTTAAATCTATTTGAAAGGAGCACCCTTACATCAGGGGCCTAGCAACTGAGACTGAGGCAGGACTATGAGAAGAGGAGGAACAAGGCGCAGTTTGGTGTGGGCCTGCAGAGCTGGAGCACAGTTCAGTGGTGCTGAGGGGCTCCAGGGCCTTTATCAGAGGGAGCCATGTGGTGCAGGTAGCTGCTGTCTTCATGCCCACAGTGGTTTAAGGGCTCACTCTTGAAAAGGGCCGGAGGTGGGGGCAGGTGGGAGACCGGGGGCACAGCCAGGTGGTGGTGGGGGTGAGGTGGGGCGTGTTGGGGTGCGTTTGAGAGGTGTTGCTGGGTTGTTGGTTGGTGGGGGTGATGGTGAGAGGGGGTTGAGTGGAGCTGTACATGGGAGAATGTGTGTCCCACAGGGCCTCGTGGAGGCATGGGCCCTCCTGTCGGGCTGAGGCCCAGGGGTGCTGAGGTGGTGGCCGGGGTGGCAGCCGAGGGGCCGGGACCAGAAGAGGAGGAAGAGGAGGAGAAGGTGTTGGCAAAGATGCGGACAGGCACAGGTGGGCCGCTGGTCTGCAGAACCACAGGGCTGGTGACCCGGAAACACTTCTCTTTGTGTGCTTTGAGCATGTTGGAGAAGCGGAAGCGCTGGCCGCACACTTCGCAGGGGTAGGGCTTCTCCCCAGTGTGGGTGCGGCGGTGGCGCTTCATGTTGGGCCGGCTGGTGAAGCTCTTCCCACAAATCTCACAAATGAAAGGCTTCTCTCCTGCACAGATTCAGAGAATAAAAGAGTGATGTGTGAGGAATACAGAGACGGTATCAGTTAACAAAACAATTGCGGCTGCACAGGAAAAATAATACGATGCATTAGAGTCAAATCCTTTGTTGTCAAATGTGATGGTTACAAAATCTAAAATAATCAATTGATTACAGCTCTATAAATGACAAAGTTAACTTTTTTCCCCTTTAATCATTTCTCTCGTCAGAGAGCAACAGTTCTCTTTTTTAAAATGCAAATAAGATGCCATCTTGAATTGAGGGTCTTTGCTGTTAACCCACCCACTCCACAGGAAGCTATTACAATTCACACTTTGAGGAGAAGAGATGTGAAAGTGAACAACAGCAGCTCCGTTGGAATGCCGCTCTCATTAACCTCCCTCCATGGAGCCACTGAATGTGCCTGCTACCACCCACACAGCCATCTATTAACAGGCTGCTGAGGGGCTCTGTAAATGCCTTATTCTCGCATGTTATCTGCGAAGCTCCTCCAAACCAACTGGATATCAAAAAGGTGGCAGCTAATGTGCTTGTCTTCTGTACATTACACGAAGAAATCATGAAGAATCTGTGTGCAGTAAACCAAACTTTGGGAGTTTGTGTTTAAAATGTGTGCTGCCTATTACAGGGCACGACTGGGTGTGTCTCCTCCTGCAAGAGGCTAAATTGGTTGCTAGCGGCAGGGAGAGGAGAGGGTAGTGTAATTACACATCACAAATAGAACCGTGAGGGCCAACGGAGAGCTGTGTGTCCACCCACGACGGGCACGGCTGGAGAAAAATGGTGAAGGACGTACAGGCTGCACTGCTCAGTTTGGTCTTAGAAATAGCAATGCAGCAGGGACAGAAAATCAGAGGGATGTAATACAGCATGTGTCTGGGTAGTCATTAAAAGCCGCAATATATGCAAGGCTCTGCTTTGATGTAGAACGTCCCTCTCATTACAAAAACTGGGCGAAGTCTCCCAGCTTACCACTATAATGTTCATCTTGGAAAACTCTCATCTTTCCTTTTTTAGGGTGTATGGAGACTGGCTGGCTGACTGAGCCCAGGGACATTGTTGTTTAGAAAAGAACTAAAGTATCGGACAGTGGGCTTAAATTATATCTTTATCTATATCTATATCTATTCCTGTTCACAACTGTGAAGATCAAGTAAAGATTAAAAAATTACAACTTTGTATGAAACATAATTTTGCATTCAATGCCACAGACGCTGAGTCATCTTGTTATTTGTAATTTACTGTGATATTTAAATACTGCAGAACTGATGCCAGAAAGGCGAGATGCCTGTCCCAAACATAGTAAGGATTTTCTGAGTGCTCTCTAGTTCTGTTTAGTTTTAGTCAGTATAAAAAAAAAAAAACAGTGAATAATTTTTCTTACACCCACAGTTTCTGTGATCCCATTCTTCTTTTAGACTGGGGAGTTGTGTAATTGTAAATGTCAATCAAATTACAAGAAATTCCATTTCCTATATTTATTCCCATGATAGCCAAGGAATGAATTCTGTTTAAGTTGGTTCTTTTTCTGTTTCTGTTTGACCAGCTTGTGACATTTTTTACTGTAGACTCAACCCGATAGTTCCTGGGCCATTGTAAGCTACAATCTGTGGAACAGGAACATCTTAGTTGGCAGGAACAATAGCTTAGGAACTAAATTTAAAGCTAGTTGTTAGTCGCTCTTCCAGTCACTACATGGGTTAAGTTTATGGTTGGTCTACAAAGCCTCCCAGTTACTGCGGTCGAAAGAGGGCTTCAAAACTAGAAGTAGGTTTCTGCAGTCAAAAAGCAGGTTAAGTTTCTCACTTCCCACAAAAGGATCCTGACGAAGTTCCTGGGGTCAGACAGATACCAATTGTTCTGTTTGCAAGATGATCGGTGCAGTAAGAGAGCCAAACTTATCATTTCTCACCTGTGTGGGTTTTCATGTGCTCATCAAAATATTGTTTCATGTTGAAGTCTTTGCCACACCATTGGCACATGAACTGCTTGTGTCCGATGTGAATGCTCATGTGGGAGCGCAGCTGGTACTTGTATTGGAACCGCTCGTCACAGTTCTACAACAGAGGCATTCAGATAGTATGCACATACCAGGTCAATACACAGGCATGCACACAAAAACACAGTGCAGACAAACAGAACTCTGAATCTTTAGCATACTTCTCTTTACTTGTTGAAAATTGTTTTGTTTAAAACAAACAATGGCTCATAACAGATTTACTCCTAATATTATGTATATTTCTGTATCTTCTGAGCATTAAAAAGTATATATGTACAAGTTATGTGATTTTATTTACATATAAACTGCTGTCCTATAACATCTGTAAGTGAACAACTTTTACTTTTCACTTTAAAGAGGTTACTGGGACCAGCCTGGTTAGCCAGGCAAGTGAGGAGTGTTTTAGTTTTAGTTAGATTTCACTATTGGATATAATTCATATATGGCAGAGAAATCTGTTTTCTCCCAAAGTCTAGCAGTGTTAACAAGATTTCTCTTAATCCCTAAACCTGATAGAAGAAGGAAGTTTCTCATTTATATGTACATGATTTTAAAGAAATGAGGTTACTGCAGCAAGCCAACAACAGTGTGATTATTTGGGCTGCATGTAACCACACTGTATGTTTGCATTATGAGGCTTTCTTGGTCAGGTCTTTTCCTACAGTCAGATATTTATAATCTCAATGACACCACTCGACTAAATAAATAACTATGGGGAAAAAATCCAGCAGTTTCCAAGACCACTGAGGAGAACAGGCTATACATTACATACACACCCTTAATAGCCATGTAATCATATGTTACACTATGGGACGACTTCAAACATTTGATTAGAGCAGCTCCACCCATACACACATGTTCCCTGTGTGCTGTCCATTCGAGAAGCTATACATTAAAAAGGCCTCGGGTGGGAGTAAAGCAGCCCATCTGTCAAATTCATCGGAATTAATCAGGGAAGAGATATGATAATCAGCTGTAACTAACCCTGTTGAGCAGAAATAAGCTTTGAAATTCTCACGCACAACGTGACAAAATGCATCCATAAGAGAGGTCTGTTGAAGCCCCAAAACACGGAACATTTAGTTCTACATTTATCTTATGTTCCAGTTAATTGGTGAACACGGTGTGTGTGTGTGGTTTGCTAATATTTGACATGGTCTGCCTTTAGCTTCTATGTATAGCTCAGACAACATAACTGTCCAATGAATATTTAAAACACAGAAGGATGCCCCCGCCTGCTCTGAAAGACATCAACTGGCACATGGCACAAATGCTGCTCTGCTCAAACTAATGAGTAAAAACTACCTTGGAGGTTCCTTTTGAGGCACACAAGGACAAATTCATCAAAACTGTAACCTTCAGTCACTCCACTCAAACAGCCAAGTGCTCTTTCAGGACTGAATTCATCTCTTCAATAAAGACATTACAAAAAACTCCATTTCAGTATGTCAACATTACCGGTATATAGGCTCTGACATATTTGTTCAAGGCTGTTTTAAGCAGGAGTGTAAATTAAACCATGACTGACAAGAGGAAAAGTCAATGTTCAACTGTGGAATTTAGGCTGATGGAAATGCTTGTCTGGCTGGGAACTGTAAGGCTCAGAAAACATGTGAATGGTTGACAGAGAAAACAACAGAACAAGACAAACAAGCTCCAAATAGCTCTAATATTCCCCCTAGTGCACACAGCCAACCACATGTGGATGACACTAAATACATGTGTACCTGCATTACACTGTTTAACCTGTTTTGCCTTGGATTTTGTTTTGTTTTTTTAGTTAACTTCCAAGGGGAGGCACTCCTGGTCACTAGCTGTATGGCCTTCTACAAACATGTGTATTGTCTGTGTAGCATTGGCCTTACTTGCAGCGAGAGGTCACTCTAAATGCAGGTGAGATAAAAACATTACTGATACTGATGTGTCTCAACTAGATTTAGACCCAAACTGTATTTATCAGAATACAGGTTATCATGTCTTAACAGGGACACGCTGTGTGAATCTTACCTCACAACGGAAGGGCTTCTCTCCAGAATGCTGGAGCGAGTGAACTTTTAAAGACATGCTGCGTTTGAACGACTTCCCACACGTCTCACAGGTAAATGGCATGTCCTTAGTGTGAGCTGGGTTTGGGGAAAAGAGAAGGATGAAAGAGAGGAAAACAATACTGAGACTGAACTGCATACATCAGGTAATATATCATAGATAATATCAAGATTTCAAAAAGGATAGCTGTGTATGAAAAGAGAATAATACACTAGTTTATTAATCAATCAGATTTCTTTCTCTGTGAGAGTAAACTGAAGATCTTTGGGTTGTGGACAAAACAAGACAGTTGAGGACGTAACCTTGCGCTTTGGGAAACTTGATTGATTAAACAAGAAAATTATTGATAGATTAATATCTGCAGTTGCAGCCATATTAACAATGTTAACTCTATTAACCCTCAAGTGACAAACTGTGGTAACTTAAATTATTGTTAAGTAAAATAAAATATGTATCTGAACCTACAAACAAAAAAAAGCAGAGGCAGAAAAAACTTTCTTATTACTGCTGTCTGAGAGTCGTGTGGTGGTTCACAAACCAATTATGGTATATTAAGTGATGCAGCACAATAGGAACTGTGGAAAAAAAGGCCTCCACTTACCAACCATGTGCTTACGGACATGAGCCATGGTGTAGAACTTCTTCTCACAGATTTCACATGAGAACTTCTTTTCTGCATAGCCGTGCACAATCTTAATGTGCTCATGCAGCGACCACAGCTTCTTAAAAGACTTGTTGCAGGAAACACACTAAAAAAAGGACACATAGAAGTAGAAACAAAACACATTGAGATTAAGCTTGTTCTTGCAGATAAAATATCATGAGAAACAAAAACCTGAGGGCCATGAGAAAATAAGTTTCATTATACTCCAGCTCCCTCTGCTGGGGAAAAATCACAGGTCTAAAATCCTGAATTCCCTCCGATGATCTTCTGATGACGTTCGAAAGACAAAACAGCTTAGATGCAATTACAGAAGAAAACCATATTTCATCAACGTTAAGTCAGCTTGTTTATGTGATTCCTGATTAAATAATAACACTTGTGAAGTATTAGACCTACTTGGAACACTAATTCACGTTGGATGTAACTAGACACCGATAAATTGCATAAATTACAGAACTATTTATTACACAAACATTCAAATCAGTATAAAATTACAGCTTTAAGTTTGTGTGGATCAATCAGTATCAGCTTTGCACATTTGGGCGCTGTCATTTTTTCTCTGCAAAACTGTACAAATTCTCATCTGGATTCAGGATTATACAACAAAGCATCAGCATTGTTGTTTTGAAGCCATTTTTTTCTGTGTTTGGGGGTTGTTGTCTTGCTGGAAATGGATCCAGGCAGTTCTCTTGGAGGCATACCCACAGTATCACACTGCCACAAACTTATAAAACACCAAAAACCAAAGCATTTATAATATGATGGCCAGGAAGCTTAAGTTTGGTCTCATCATATCAAAGAGACTTCCACTTTGTTTTATGTCTCCCACATGCCTTCTGGCAAACGCTAGCCAAGCTATCATGTGAGCTTTTTTTCTAACAGTGCCTTTTTTCTTTTCCACCACCATAAAACTGGTGAAGTGCCGGAGAAACAGTTGTGTATACACTGTCTCCCATCTCAGTCATGAACCCTGGAGCTCTCTCAGAGCTGCCATAGGTCTGCTGGTACCCACACTAGTGCTTTTATTACACAGACATTCTGTTTTGGAGGACGGCTCGTTGAAGATAGATTTACGCTGTGCCATCGTTTCTTTAAACCAGTTTTTAACATCACCTCAGAGAGATATTCTATCCTTCAATACTTCTTTACTAATTAATTTTGGTATAACTAACCAGTAGTCAAACCTTCCAGATACAGGTATACTGAACCAAACAATCAGAGTAAAAGAGTGTGACTACTTAGGAAGCGTGTTATTTTGTGAGACTTGATTATCTTTTTCTGCTGATCAGTGTATTTCACTGTTGTTAATAAAACATGAATATGCATAAGGAAGTAATTAGTTTTTTATGGACCCTGTATTACAAAACTTGTAAATCACTTTGTGTGTCAAAAGCAGTTGGCAAAAGGTCGGAAGACTTTATCCCACAAACTCAAGATGCAAATCAAGTTCTGCAAAACAGGGAGCTAAATTAAGCTACTCAAAGCAGCCAATGACCCTTGGGTATTAATACACTGAATTAACCTTTTCAGTTTTAGAGAAGTAAAACCAAACTGAACCCACTTATGATACCATCAAAGGCAGCAGATGACAATATATTCTTTTAAGTTTATTTTCTGCAGGTTATCAGTTTAAGTTTGCACTTTAAGTTTGAAATATTAACATAGTAATATGTAGATGTATATTGCATCACAAATTGCTTCGCCCAGAAACAAAATTAACTTTTTACCTCACACTTACACCAGAATCTCATTATTGCTAGTTTTATGAATCAAGTATAATATATAAATTAAGACAGATATATGTGCAATTTGAAATGATTTTACTCAGTAGGCAAAAACAGTTATGCCTGAATATCAGGTGAACACATTCAAGGCACCCAAGATAAATCTAAAAGCAAATTGTTCTTGGCAGCTTCTAAATGTGTATGTATATCAAGATGTTATGAAATAATATGGTGAACACTCAAGAGTAATTAAAGAGATAAGATATGAAACTGGAAGGTTTTGCTTTACCTGGATGTTCTTCTCACAGTCGGTCTGCTGGTGTAAGGCCAGCTCACTCTCCAGGACAAACTTTTTGCCACACTTGTCGCAAATCTGCATTCGCCTGTGTGTGACATTCATGTGCTTCTCCAAGTACCAGCGCGTGTTAAACACTCGGGGGCACTTTTCACACGCCAGCATCTCCTTCTCCTCCACCTCCACTTTCCCGCCTGTCGCCGTGGAACCGGCAGACGACGGCGCTGATCGGGCTGACCTGCGCTTGCTCTTTGGGGGTTCCATGCGCTTCCGCCGCCCCCTGGTGGTCATTCCAGCGGTAGCAGTGCTGAGGGCTGTTCTGAGGCTTTTCCTCCGTGGCTGGCTGGGAGCTGCAGTGCTACTAGCACCCCGACGAGGCCTCTTTGACCTTGTTCTTCGACTCTCAATCTCATCCTCCTCCTCGTCTTCCTCCTCTTCTTCTTCATCGGGACTGTCCTCCTCCTCCTCCTCCTCTTCTTCTTCTTCTTCTTCTTCCTCCTCCTCCTCCTCGTCATCTTCATCACTGCCAGCTCTCTCAGAGTCGTCTGCTGTGGTTCCAGTTTTGCTGTCCCCCTTGGATACATGAAGTGTCTGGTTGTTCAGGTTAACCTCAACAATTATCTGCTCACGCTTGAAGCCCTCCTCCTCCTCCTCCTCCCCATCCTCCTCCTCCTCCCCCTCTTCTTCCTCCTCGTCGTCATCATCTTCAGTGTCGTCAGAGGTGCCGTCATTGCCAGCCTGGGACCCCTGCGTCCCCACCTCCTGTCCTGCTCCTCCCTCTCTGAAATACTGCTGATGTTGCTGTGGAGTCACATGTTGAGTGGGCAATTGACCAATATTCTGATCTCCCATGGATGTCTTGGCTGCCATTTTATTGTCCACTAACACAGAATAAGGCTTACCACCAACCTCCCTCTTATAAAGCTTGCCTGTCAGGTCCAGGTCTGGGTTGGGTGAGTGAAAAAAAGACTGGGACACTGGCACCCTGCGTCCTTCCTCCTGTGACATCCCGCCAAGGCCAGGGACAGAAACCTCTTCCTTGAGGCTCTTGCAGGATTTCATGAAGAGGGAGAGGGAATGGAGGGATGGAGCTGATGGCAAGGCAACAGAAAAGAGTAACTGCAATGGTGCCAAGGTAGACTAGCCTACTCTACAAGGAGGGGCAGGGGATTCCACACCAATCCCCCACCCTCCTTCAACTGAAGAGACAGGAAGGAGGGGATGAGGTGACAGATAGTCAACCTGATTCAAAAAGAGCATCCATGCTGTCCAAGGTAGGAAATGCAGTTGGAAAGACATACAATCTGTTCCAAGTTTTGTTCCATATGCTTAAAAATCAGACTGCAGAATCAAACGCTCAGCGTCTTTGATACTGAACATTTGAAGCTAAATTCCTCTCGAGATCGTATGTAAGGTGTAGGCAGCTGCCAGATTCAGTTTCTCTGAAGGCGTCTGCCCTGCAGGGTGCCGGTGTCTTCAAACTGCAGAGCAGGTAAAGATGAGCTGAATGCCAGACATGGAACTGTAATGATTTCTGTGTATTGTTTGAAGAGCCATTTACAGCGCATTACCTATGAAATCAGAAAGAGAAAAACAGGGAGAAACACAAGATGAGATTAGAAAAGGTGCTCTTCCGCTGTCTCGTGTCGCTACAGAGTCTGAACTGAAACTAAAGCTATATTGTCAAGTTTAACACTGGGCGGCACATTTACCCACAAATGTTTCAGTGTCGTGTGTAGGAGTCAAAACCGCAGTCTTCTTCGCAAATGAATGTGAGCTCAATTTCAAAAGCTGAATATTCTAAATATTTCCAGGCAACAACTGAAATACCTCAATCTAAAATATAATGCAGAGATGGTTTGCTTTCTGGATTGACACATCATAATACATCTTGTCAATTTCAGAGCATATTTATAAGAGATATACAACAATAAACTGTTAGTACTCACTGAGAAATATTATGCATAAATAAAATATGTAAAATATATGTAAAAAAAATTTTTTACATGAGCATTAGAGGAGAAAACCCATGAAACGCTGGATGATAGCTCAATACGTATTGCAATTCAGTGGATGTATTTAGATAGATGCAATCAAAGTACATCACCTACAATCTAAATCTCCAACAGTAAATAAATAATTGCTCTTCACTCAATCATAGTTATGTTTCATATATTTCCAGTGCACCAAGTTTGTGCAATAAATAAAAAGTTATCTGTGCACTTCTGCAAAAAAAGTTCACACCAACATGACGGCAAAACACTGATTAAACAAAAGATTGTTTTTTTTTTAAGCAACACACACCAACTTGCACACACACCCATTGACTGTTAGAGTATAGTGTAACCACAGCTCAGGAGCATGTATTGCAAATTTAACCACAGGAAACTGTATTTCAACTTTTCAATGAAGCCTAAGCACTGCACAGTTTTGGAACCTAAAGTAAAAACATCATGTTTATGCACGTTAAAGATAAAAAAAAAGATAGTATTAAAACAATTCAATCTATTTCCTACGGGACTCGTGGCTTTTATGGCGTTTGTATGTTCTTGACTTTTGCTCGTCGACTATGCTGGGGTGTCCCTGGCTGACAGTTTGTTGACCTCAAACAACCTTACATACAACTTGCCATAATGAGTGCGCACCAGGGCGGTTTGTTCACTAGAAAACCTCCCTGAGCAAGAAACGAAAAACACATTTCCTTTCTTGGAGATGGCAAACATCCTCTCTTCTGTGTCTTCAATGTCTTATGCTTTTATTTTTATGAACAAGCGATACTTCACCATCTACAAAGAAAACATGAATGTGCCAAGTGGGACTTTAATATTCAAACATACCCCTACATGACCCACAATGGGTACTTTGTTCTAGTCTTTAATCTATAGCCATGATTAACATGAAGGGTTTGCATGAGAAAAGAAAAAAGTGTGCAAAGGATGAGATCAAAAGTATCATAAGTGCAGAGCTATGAAATTTTGGCAAGCATGATAAGCTTTTAATAAATACAATTATTGATCACAAAGAAAAGGGCATCCTTTCTTCCCCTGTTGGTGTCTTCATTTTACTAAAGTGGAGTCCTACTTTATTACTGAGGGTTCAATACCAACTCTTATTCAAACTAAACAGAAGTTGCACTTGCTTGAATTAATCAGTAATAAAATTACTTTGTTCACTGATTCATTTATGCGTGTGTGTGTGTGTATCTCAGTTGCCAGTCTACTCTGAATTTAAGTTCAGGTTGTCAATTAACTCTTATAATCTCTCTTCGAAAACCTAAACGGTTTTTCCTGCCACTTCATCTCACTAGACTGTAATAAAAAGCATGCAAGAATGAAGGCAGAGCTAAGTGGAGCTAAATTATGTTTAAGTCAAACATGCATGAATATGTACCTACCGGTTTTGCAAGCTCACATGAAAGTAAAATTTGACTATCCACACATATAGACATACCTGTCTTCCTGTGCATGCTGACTCTGATCCTTTCTGAGAATTGGACAGCAGCTCTGAGAGCATTAATACCACAGGGGGAGGGCAAGCTCTGCACTGACAGAGCAACTCAACTCACATGGCAGTCTTAGACACAAAGCCTAATAGATTATCCTGCGTCTGGATGACAAGAGGAATATAAATTGCATGAGAAACCACTGCATGAACCTGCCCCAGTGGGTTTCTATTCCCTTTCAAGCACATGCATGTTTAAAATAAAAAGGTCTATGGAGTAGGAATATACAACATCTAACTTTAATTTAAAACTAATCAAAAATGCTGAATTCACTGTTCAAACAACGCACATGTGCACACTGTGGTTATGTAACCCATAGAGTAAAATTCTTCCATCCGCTTATCATTATCAGTGATGAGTCATTTCAGAGTTTCACTCACAGTGAAATAATGCAGTCCTTTGATGTGGGAATCAAGTAGAGCGCAAAACTTCTCAATATCACTGGTAATTGGTCTACACAATCACCTTGTCGGATTAGAGGTCAAACCTATGGGAATGATGATCATATGTGCCTTTTTTTTTTTTTTTAAAGATTGGACAGCTTTCAAATATGAACTTTGCACCCTGATGCATACAAAGAGAAAAGTGCATTAATGAGACATCTGACAGCCCATTAAGTAATCCAAAACATGCCCAGAAATCAAAGTTTACTCAACAATAACCACTTCATAGCTTCCCTTAATCACGCTTTAAAGACGCGATGAGAAAGCAAAACTAATTTCCATATAGGGTAAGCCACAAAGCCAAGTCATATACCGGATAGATGCTACTGTGGCTTAACATTTGAATGACAGGATGGGAGCTTTACTGCAAAACGCACTACACAACACTTATACCAACAGCATTAAATGGTGCATGGGCTTGTGACAGTGAAAGAAGATGAGACCTCTGAAGCAGTCAAAATGTGTCACGTTTACCTCTTATTACACCGAGCAGTGCTCCTCAAATCCATGCTCGCTCTCAAGTCTAGACTTTAATGAGCTTTCCCTTTCGCAGCTTGTAGAGGACCGTGTGAGGGTTCACATTCCTCACTCTGTCCAAACTCATAAGACCTTAACCAGCTCACTGTGTGGTGCACTGCAGGGGTGCTCCATGCCTCTGTAGGTATTTGGCCCTAAAGCCCATAATCGGGTCATGGAGCAGTAGCCTACCTAGTGTTTTTGGTCTGGTATAAATCATCTGAGCTATCATAGAAAAAAAGTGGGAGAGTATTATCTCAGCAGCAAGCTCTCCCCATTAAGTTTTGTTATTCTTATCACAACACACACAGAGAGAGAGAGAGAGAGAGACTGTGAAGCCTGACAGCAGCGAGTGTATTGATGTTCACTGGTGGGATATCTCTACTCCAAATAGGGGACAGATAACATGGGAACACTCAACGTGGCTCTTTTGCTTTAAAATCTGATTCGCACTGTAAAAAAAAAAAAACATGAAATACAAAAACGACCAGCAAGCTTTCACTATTTCTGGTAAACGAGGTCACGAAGCGCGAAACCAACATTATACATCTTTTTTTAAATATATTTTGGGGAAGTATGACGAGATTTATAGTGCGGCAGACTTTCCTCTGAACATGTTGATGAGGGGGCGATCTTTGGAGCTACATGACACACAGGACTAAACACTTGCACGACGTAAATAAAAAGGGTTAAAAGACATTAAAAAATAAGGCAACACAGTGCACCGACCAGCAGTTTACACTGTGCAGGCCTGGACAACTTAGGCTACTCAGCTAGCTAGCCACACTCCATAGGTATTAACCTGCATACACATGAACAAGCTAACTTGGCTACATTAGCTCAAGGTGCAGCCATTAGATATTTTAGTGCACACAAGAACAATCGTATCACCATGCACAAGCTTTTAAAAAAAAAACCCCACATACAAGCGTTTGCTGGCATGCATAAGCACACAACAACATAAACGACTTTTTTTTTTTTTTTGGTTGTTGTTGTTATTTAATAAAAATAATAAAAAAAAAACGACCTAAAACCGCCCAGATTGGTCCGCTAGTTAGCTTCAAAGCTAGCAGCAACGTCAGATATTCACCGTTTTAAGCGTTACACTTTAATGTCGATGTAGTTTTGGAGGGGGAAGTGTGACAGTCAGCGGACCCACACGAAGCTACAGCGAAGAGCCGATGTCAGGCTTTTGTTATCAAATCTATCTTTCATTAAATAAAAAATTAAATAAAAATAAAAACGCCTGCTTTCCTAACACACACACACACACAGAGAAGAGAGAGAGAAACTAGCTGTACTGACGAACCCACTCAACTCGACACTGTCACAAAGTCAGTGCTAGCCGAGCTCACGGACGATTCTCAACGGTCGCTCCGGCCACCGGTTACCGGCGACCTGCGTCTCCTCTCCCCGCTTCCTCCACCTCCTCCGACCGGGCAGCTGCCACGCCATGTCACCCCCCCCCCTCCCCCGTTAAGTGCCATTAAAAAACAAACCAGAAGTTATAACGCAACGTTTTTTTTCTGTTGTTGCTGTTTTGTTTTTGTTTCGGGGCTTCTTACCTCCTCCTCCTCCTCCTCCTCCGTCGACAGCGACCTCCGTCTCGCGTTCGTGCAATCAGAGTTGCACAGATTCGGGGTTGCACGCGCACTTCTCTCGCTCGCTCTTCGCGTGGAGAAAAATAAAAAGAGAAGAAATTTAAAAAAAAAAAAAAAAAAAAAAAAGAAATAACGTGTGCGGGGGGGGAGGTTCCTGCGTTTTGATGTGCGTTTTTTTTTTTTTTTGGGGTGGCTTGCGGTTAGATACCTGCGCACCGGTGTCTTCAGCCCCCGCTACGTGGCCCGGCCAAGCTCTCTCGCGCGTACCACCACCGCCGTCCCGCGCTCATCCCAGGCATTCAGGGCCCGCTGTCTGTCTGTCTGTCTGTCTGTCTGTCTGGGCAGGCGCGCGGCAGCGTGTCTGGGTCTCCCCTCCAAAACCAGACAGGGCACAGCGCGCGCGTGCACGTTCAATATCCTTGATTGATGAAATAATAATGAGACCCCGAGGAGCGTTTTATCCTCTCGAAGGAAAGATCTTTAAAGAGTAATGGATTTAAACTATCAGCTCTCGCTCTTTATTATTATTATTATACATTTTCAGTTTTTTTATATGAAATTTTTTGCTTTTGGTCTGGACACACGAGGCGTCCCAGTAAATTACTTTGTGTGACCGTATTTTCCATATTTGAGTGATATATTTTGCTATTATCTGCGACAATGCACAAGAAAAACATATTCGATATAAAACAGCATTTGAAATGTAGTGATGTTAATCTCAACCAAACCCTTTTTTTTTAAATAAAGTAATATCATATGGTTATAAAATATTTAAAAGAACCCCCATCATCAGTTGTAGAGGTTTTCATTTCTTACCAAATAGCCATTACCTATAAAATATATATCAGTAATTACCTTTAACTCATCAAAGATACCAAAGACATAACTATTGCATCCATTAGGAATCATAATGGAGAAACTATTAAGGAATCAACAATGACCAGTGCTCCTCTTACAGCAGTTTCAAAAAGGGGCATGCAATTATGATGCACCCTCCTGTGGTGACTATAATGATTACGCTCACTAGAAAATACTGTACATTCACTTCTGAGGCCTTGAACAACGAAGCATGACCACTGGGAGGTAGAAAGACAATTTTATTGTTAAGTCGAGCCATCTCTCAAACGCAGGGCTTACATTTTTCTCCACGCAAACTCAAGACACAGCGACGACTGTAAAGAACGACGGATCATCCTCTGCTGTCTGACCAGCACATTCCAGTTGATTAGAGGGCGCCAATTTTATTCATGAGGAAATTATTTGCTTGAAAGCAGATAAAGTCCAGACATTAAATCCCTCTGGCAAGTCAGAACACACAAAGAGAATTTAAGTCAAATGAATGACTAAGCTATAGTCGGTTATGCGTGTGAATCCAAAGCAGAAACTTTCATTACAGATTTGAATATACGTAGTTACACAATTTGAAACTCTCTGGCACAACAATATCAGAGCAACTGCATTCATCATCCTCTCTTTTAAAAAAGGAGTCACTTTTCCCTTGATGTTACAATCACTGTTGCTTTCCACACACCCAGTGCTCTTAATCACAATGTAGCAAAGAGAATTTACTGCATTGTCATTTATTTTCAAAACAAAGTACTATTATATATTTATAGGTTACCCTCCACTTCCTCACACATTGGTGAACTTCATAATTATATCCGTTACCGGCCTCTCACTTTGTCTCCCACCATGCTGCTATCAGCAGAGCCCAGTCCAGAGTTGGTTAGAGAAAGAGTGGGAGGAATGTGTGTGAAGTTGGGAGTCCTTTATTGAATCCTCCAACCACCCCTTCTATGGCCCTTTTGAACAGCTGATGACAGTAAGAGTGGGGTAGACATGATGTGAGATGTTATCACTGGGGCAGCTGGAGCAATGTGCCCTGTCCCGAGGGCAGGTAAGTGACGTTGCGGGAGCGGGAAAGCAGTAAGGCGATGTCTTCGGCTGCCTCCAGCTTACGTAGCTCTACCAGACCATCACCAGCCTCCTGTAGGGAGTTGGCGATGAGCAAGGCAGCCTGGGAATCTCCCTCTGCTGAGATGATTGCAGCCTGCTTCTGTTGCTCTGCCTAAAAAAAAAAAAAAAAAAGGTTAAAAAGTAGATTTTGTGAGCTGTGTCAATTCACAACCCTCCACCTTTTCCACACAAAGACTGTAGATACTTTTTCTGAATGTAGAAGTAATATCGGGATGTTAAAAATAGTACCTTTTCTACAACAAATCGGGCCCTTTCAGCTTCCTGCTGGGCCACCTGCTTCATCTCAACAGCCTCTGTGAATTCCTTGCCAAAGGTCAAGTGTGTCTGAAAGAACACAATACCATTGTTTCGTCATGTTAACATTCAACAGAAAAGATTAATTCCACATTGTTTAAAAAAAAAGAAAAGCTTCATACCAGAGAAACGTCATCCAAGATGAGGCCGAAGGTGTTGGCTCTTTCTGTAAGGTCCTCACTAACTTGCCGAGACACAAGCTCTCTCTGGGTGATGAGCTCACCAGCGTCAAACCGAGCCTGTGGAAAAAGAAAAAGTAGCTTATGAGTCCATTTCTAAGCGCACTCCGACTCATAACAAAAACTTTCATCTGTTCATTCGTAATTACTCTTCTTGACTGATACTCACTACTACAGCCTTTAAGACCTCTGTGGTGATGGATGGCAGCACCCTCTCATCATAGTCTTCACCGATACTGGTGAAGATGCGCGGCAGCTGTCCGGTCACCGGCCGGAAGAGGATACGCAATGTGATGTTTACATTCTGCAGATCTGCGGGGGCAAGGATTAAAATGTAACTTACAGCACATAATAGCCTATAAGTAAGAGATTAAAACCTCCTGTGTACAGTAGGTTGTATTTTAATGTAACTTCTGCACAGTTTGTTGACAAAATGCTAACATATACAGCATGGTTACATTAGGATGTTAACTTTGCCAGGTAATTCTTTTCTTTAAGGAAGAAATATGGCATTTCTTAGAGGCTAGCAGGTCAGAGAACCGGTAGAGCCAACTCAGTTTTAAGAGACCAGATTGTGTATGAACAAAAGTGACATTACAGCAGTTCAGAGGATAATGGATGTACCTTTGCTGCCTGTGATGACAGGCACGTTGCGTGGACGGGAACGGCAATCAAAGATGATAGGTTTCTGAACCCAGGGAATGAGGAAGTGGGTCCCTTCACCAACAACAACATCTTGCACTCCTCTGAACCGGTCAAATATCACAGCCCGGTGCCCTGCATCAACTGTAGCAAGGAAGCAGGAATAGTTAAGATTACCTTTATTAATCCCCTCTTTTTTATTTTTACACACATATTTTATATTTTCACACGATGAATTGCACACTCATGCATATGCGGGGCTTGTCATGCAAACATGGAGAGAGATGGTGGAGTGATGGGCTGCCACGTTAGCAGCGCCCCATGAGGAGATTTATTTTTATTTTTAAGAGTTAGTCTCTCTGCCGAAAGGTTTTTTATATGCAGCATTTCTATAGATTATAGCTCTATTTCTATAGATTATAGCTCTATTTCTATAGATTATAGCTCTACAACTGTCGAGTGTTTTTCTTTTTAAACCCAAAACCCATATTGGTTGAAATCACATGAATTATATGCTGAAGAGCTATGCGATCTAACATGGTGGTTATCCAGTTTATTACAGATATATTTTAGGAAAAAACACATTCATCTGTTTGATCAACTTAAGCAGTAAGAAACAAATATAAAAATGCAAAAACAAACGTACGTAACAAGTTACAATAGTTTCAAAAAGACCCTACATGAATAAACTGTGATGAATGCACTAGGAGTTAGTAACAACTAAACTAAAGCTGCATTGTATTGGACTGGAGGATTTCAACATCTGCAATGCATTTCTGCTGCAGTTAAGTATTAAAAACATCTTAAAACAGCTGTAATGACATAATAATATTAATAATAATAATAACTTAATGAGTCAGTCTAGTTAGGGGTTTTTTTTTAGACTTCTTGACTGAGTGCTACAGTGTTCACATCAGGGACATCCCTCATCAGTACAGTAATAAAATGAGGTGAAGTGAAATAACCAGGTTAGGTGTTCAACCGATCAGCACTCACCATTGAAGAGTGCAGAGTTCACAACACCTCCACCAATGGCAAGGGCCAGCCCCAACTTCCCAATAGACTCAAACAGCTTGGCCATGACAGCAATCTATCAGCAGCAAAACAAAAACAAGGTTAAAACAATTAGTCAGCATTACTCCTACGCACTGTAAACCATGTGAGCCTGTCTGAATCCCGTCTACCCAGTAATAGTTGGCCTCGGCCTTGTGCAGAGGGATGCCAAGGCTGTGTTAGCTCCCTGCACTTGCATTAGGTAAGCAGACTGACCGGGAGCACTGAAGCTTAAAGAGGTGTACGAGAGGTTAATGAATGTACGTGTCCGCAAATAAACGGAGATCACATTTAAAAACCCCAACAATGAGCGTGTGTCGGTCACGTTACGCGTGTTTCCTCTGGCTCGTGTTCGCCTCGCCTCCCAACACTTTCTGCTTCTTTAACGTCATTTAACGTCATTTAACGTCATTTAACGACAACAAGTGGGTAAAGAAACGAGCTCAGTTTGCTGTGTATGTGTCGCTACTGCTCCACGGTGAAGTATTTTCAGTGTCACGACACGCGGCGTGTCGTAACTCACCTCGGTTCTCGCTCCGTTGTCTGTGACCTCCACCGGACGCGACGTGCAAACACATGAGATATCTGCTCGACGGCGCATGCGCAGCGCACGTAGCAACGTAGCATCCGATTGGACGAAAAGGGGAGGAGTTCTTCTTCTCTGGCTCGTTGTTGAAGTAGTCAATGTGCTGATGCGTTACTGCCACCTATTGGTGTTAGAGGCTGGTTGGACCCTAGACTGTATAATAGATGCTTGATTCAATAGATAAATAATAAGAGATAAATTAAGTTTGTCACCTATAAAATATTAGGAATAAAATGTGGTTATAAAACATATACACATAATGCAAGGCCTGGAGGACAATTACTATACTAGATATTTATAGTAGTCTTACTATGAAGTAAATGAGGTAAGTTATTTGATCTGTTGTTAAATTGGTCACTCTGTGAGGCTAATCTCAGCCATAATACAAACATTTTGTATTTAGGTCAGGATGGGTTAAATCAGGAATCTTGGAAATTGATATGGCTGGGTATGGTCAGTAGAGCTCCATTACAAAATACTCCATTACAAGGAGAAATCCTGCTTTTAAAATGAAGTTCAGAAGTGCTTAAAGTAGGCTAACAAAAGGAAAGAATAACTCCTGCTGCAGAGATATTATCCAGATAACTGACACATTATTATATATGATCTTATTAATGCAACCATGTGTACATTTGAAGCTGGTTGAACTAGTTTTAACGACTTTATATTCAGTTAGGTAATCCAGTGACTCCCAGTTTAGGGGTTGGACGCCCTCCAAAGGGTCGTGGAACCAGTTTGGTGATCTATAGATATACAGTATGTAAACAGACTAGCTGACGGCACTTGGTCGCCCCCTTGCGCGGACCTGACAAATAACATAATAATTTGTAGTTTCACTTTCCTTCCATTGCTTGAAAAGTGTGACGGTCTTTGCAAGATAGCGAGAAACCAACGGTGGAAGCTCTGCAAGGTCAGTAATCACCACGAATCTTTAAAGATATCCCAGGTATTTGGTGACGGACAGTAACAGCGCCGTGCGCAGAACAGACGATCCGTCGGTGGCGCGTTAAGCAGATTGTCAGTTTAGATTCTTCCGATTTCACTTCCTTGACACTCAGCTCTGCAATGTGGCCTTCCTTGTTCGCTCCACACACTCGTTTTTTTGACATCATGTGTCAATAAACACTCAATATTCTTGCGCACATCGTGCAGCATGGCTGGCAATAAGACTGGAAGAGTTCTCAATCGAACATAATTCATGGTGACTTTCCAATCACAAATCTCTATTGTGAGTGTAGAAAGCAACATGTGGTTATTAGAGGGATGTTTGTTATTCGCAGAATAGTTGAAAACACGATAACAACTAACTGTAGGTGGGACGGAGGAAGAAAAAGAGGAAGGGGCGTTAACTTGACCATCTGTCACAGTATGCACATATTATTTCCCATTTTCAGTTTTGTATGTTACACGAGAGGATTTTAACTAAAAGAAGGGTGGAAACATGTTTTATTTAACAGTGCAGAGCAAAAAATCCCAGTAGTAGGCCTAACAGATTTTAGATGAGCAAATATCAGTCGTAATAGTTGTGCGTAACCTGTCAGTGTTTTAAAGAACCAGCTGTAGAATAATGGGAGACGCCTTAATTAACTTTAGATGGACAATTATGTGCTCAGAATTACCAAAAAAACTCTAATTGGTGATGGCACCTGAAATGGAAGTTTTTGAATTATGTTGATGTAGTGTCCTAGTAACCCCCAATAGAGGGTGTTATATTATCAAATATGTCTCTCTTCCTATTTGCAAGGGTGGGGCCTTTGAATGGTTGCTTGATACTTTAACAGTGACAGCTTCATGAAGGGATTTTGTGTTTTGGGCTTTTTCTCATCACCCTGTTGATGTCCATGCTCACCCTTTTGTGCAGAATTAAGACATTTCTGTGTTGCAGCCACTCTTTTTCTTCCCAGCAGTGATTTTGTTTCTTCCAGCAGATGGCAGAGCCGGGCAGGACTGTAAGGGTGAGCGGTCTGCCCATAGACACAGAGGATAACAGGCTGAAAGACAAGCTATGTATCCACTTCCTGAGATCCAGGAATGGAGGAGGGGAAATAGACTCTGTCACCATTATCAAGGCAACGCCCGTCTCTGCCCTCATCACCTTTGAGGACAGTAGAGGTCAGTAGGGTCAGGATGTGTGCATGTCTGTGCATATGAAGTGTAGGGGAGGGGGATTTCACTGAATACTTAATTGATTTTATTACAGAGACATGTTGCTGTGAAAATACTATTAACTATATTATTCTGTTAACTACATTAACACTGGGGTCTCACAATACAACAATATTGAATAGTAAATATTTAATATTTAAATAATTTTCATTCTAAAGACTCCAAAATTTAGTTGCAATAATTTGCATTGTATTGCACTGTCGGCTGTCACCAGTGATTTACACTGAGCTGGAACGTTGCCATGCAAGTCAGTGGAGTAGCCAATGGTAAAAGAGCTTAGTCAGGATGCCTCACAGACTGAGATTGATTTCCCTCTGGTGAAACCTCTCACACAGTGGCACAGCGAGTTATTCAACAGAGCCGGCACATTCTGGAAGTGGATGGGAAGAACTATAAAGTCACTGTAACTGAGCATCGGGAAAGCCTGGACCCAGACAAGGTATATTCATCTAGAATGTTAGGAAATACTGTATGTCAACAAATGATGAACATACAGTCAAATCAATGAATGTCTCTCTTTTTCCACCATTATAGGTCATCCTAAATTTATCAGCAATGATCGACTACAGCCAGCTTCCTGGGGGAGCAATGGCATTGACAAGCCTCCATAAGAGCTACCCTGATATTCAGATAATCTACGATGCTACTGAGGAATTGTATACATTGCATGGCGCTTATTCCAGAGTCCAGGCAGCCTTGGCACAACTGCTTGACCATCCTGGAGGCAAACAATCAGCAGAAAACAAAGACACAAGTCAACCTGCCACCAGTGGGTCCAAGTCTATTCAGACAGCACCCAAGCCTCATACTCAGGAGTCAGAAAATCAGAGCAGGAAACCTAATAGACAACGAGAACAAAGAGAGAAAGTTCACATTGGTAGGCCTTCTGATGAGTATGAGTCAGGCTCACATAGAGACCTGACACCTGGTGGTTATGGCTGGGATGATACTGGGCAGACAGAGGGTGCAGCCATGCAGCTACCTGGGCATCCTACGGCGTCTGAGGAGGACTTCTTCCTAATCGTGGATGCAGACATGTTCCAGTATTTGCAGAAACACTGCCAAAAGGAATACCAGCGTATCCTAAGTCAGTATGGTGTTGATGTGGTGGATGTGACAAATCACGGGTTGACTACTCTGTTTCTGCAGGTTGCAACAGAAGTGGGGGAGGATGGTCAAGATGAGGAGTGCCTGACTTTGGCCAAAAAGGCAATAAGTAGGCTTTATCAAGAGAATGAAACCAAGATCCGTCGAGCCCAGCTCCCTAAGAGTATCGTGTCCCCCAGGGGTGGACTGCAAAGGGCGATGGAGAACTTAAGTGTCAGATTTCCCAAGCTTCTTATGAACGAAGATGACCAAAATATTTACATTATCGGGAGCAGTATCGATGTGTCTGAGGCCAAACTGTTTCTCCTGGGCCACAATGAAGGGAGGGGAAAAAAAGAAGATGTAGCCAGTCTTTTTAGATTTCCTTCATATGATTCAGGTTCATCAACTCATGCTGATGAGCAGAGAGTCCCCCTCCCCACATCTTCCCCGGTTGATTCTGTGGATATTAGGATAGACCAGCCGTTGAGGTCAAAGGAGGATGAGAGGAGAGCCGATGGAGCCAGAAGGTATAAACTAGCAGCTCGGTTTAAGGATTCTGGGCTGCCTGCATTAGGCAGTCGGCCAACTGACTTCAGCTTACGAGGGCTTTCATCTCCCAGTAGACAAACACGCCGTGGGCCAATGGTAGGGCATGATGTACTGTCAGAAACAGCACAGATTGCTGGTGAAAGAGCCTCCAGAGCATTAGCCCAAAACACCGGAGGGGACATCTTGTTTAAGAGTGGAGATGCCTTGCCTTCAACTGCTTTCATGCAGAATAAAACCTCTTTGAACTCACATTTAACTGACACTCGACCCAAGAGTTTAACATCCCCTGTTAGCACAACTCAGTCCAGCGTGTCAGGAAGTACTCCACTTCCACCTGCTGGGTCTTCCACGTTGAAGCGAGCCAGTAGTTTCTCTGGAACACCTCAGGAGAAGGCCCAAGTTATGGGTCAGAAGAGTCAAGACGACTCTGGAAAGTCCACAGTCAGAACCAGGGCCAGGTCCTCTAGCTTCAGTAACCAAACAGGGAGGGACAAGCAGGAAGTCTATAATGCAGAGATTACAGTTTCCTCTGTGGTGTGGATGCACATAAAAGAAGCCTACAGCACCCGAGTGGATGACCTGACTTCTGATGTCCAGATGAAAGAGAGACGCTCACAGGGTAGTAGTGATTTGACCATCACCTTAAGAGGGGCGAGCTCATCCAAAGTGAGTTCATGTCAGCTGGGTTTACAGAAACTGGTTGCTTCGGTTAGTGCAGACTTCGTTGTGCAGGAACTGCGCTTGTCAGAGCTGGGTATCACTGACAGAGCAGATGAAAACTTACAGGCCTGTTGTGCTGAGGTGCGTAGCCGGTTCAAGAAAGTTACCATTCGGTTTTTAGAGAAGAGATTATTTGTTCTTGGTCCAGAACAGTTGTGTTCTCAGTTAGCTGCTACATTGCGGGAGGTATTTTCTGGAGATTTAGCCCAAATACCTGAACAACAGGTCTTCTCTACCTCCAACTGGAATCCATCCACACTATTACAAACGAATGAGGGTCAAAGTACTAGTCTGCGCAGTAATACTCAGGTGATGCTGCAGAGCCAAACAAGCAAAGCTAATGGGACTGGTAGTAGTCAGGAAAGGAGAACAAACCATAGGAGTGACTCCCGAGAGACAGAGCATGTGAATGGATCTATTAGCCAGCCGTTAGTGAGGAAAGATCCTGTCATTAAGGAGAAGGTGAGAATTGTAAGTACAGTGGAGATGGATGGACAGAAGATGTTTGTCAGTCACTCTAAAACCGGAAGTGATGAAAGTGCAAGACATGTAAATGGTGTTGGGTCAACAACAACCCGGACTGATAAAGACTTGGCCCTTCATATGAAAGAGAGAACCACTCATTCAACCCAAAAGGACACTGCACAGCAAAGACAAACAGATATCCAGGACACCCCGGCAGAATCCAGGTCAAGTCTTGGGGGCCTGGGGTGCATGTGTGTGTGTGGGGAGAATAAGAAGTCGACGATTAGAACTAAATGTGGGGCTAACTTCTGCTCGGAGTGTCTGGAAACTGTACATGTCCAATGCAAGGTTTGCCATGAGACAGAGCCGACACCACGGGGCATCCAGGGCAAAATGAAATACTCTAAAATACACATTAGCGTACCAGGTCATAAGAAAGACTCGGCTATCAAGATCACTTACCTAATTCCTGATGGTATCCAAGAGGTGAGGGGCTTATTTGAAACATATCTGATATCTCTGATCTCTGACTGTTGTATCTGATAGAGGCATTTCACAGAATTTAATGGAGTGCCCATTCATCTTTCCACCTGAAAGACATAACACATAATATGGGCAAAGCAATGGCTACTCAATTGGTGTCTTTTTACTGGTTATTGTACACTAGTTTCAGTGAATCCTTGATATGTTTTTCTAATGTTTTACTTAACACCACTTAACAGAAAATTATATTATTCTGTGTAAAGCAATTACAGAGCACTCATGTACAGCTACAATTTTACCCAATGTCAACTTTGATCAACTTAAGACCTGCAAGAATGGCCTGTAGAGTACTGGAAAATACACTGTGACACTGTAGTGTTGGAAGTTACTGATACTGTTGGTGCTGCTTTAATAACAAGACTTATATATAGAAATAGAAAATGATACCTATGAGACTTTGTTCACGACTGTGGTCATTGCTTTTTCTTACCAGGAGGGTCACCCTTCTCCAGGAAAACCCTTTAAAGGAGGGATGTTTGAAGCCTTCCTTCCTGACTGTGAGAAGGCGAGGAAGCTGCTGCCTAGGCTGGAAAAAGCCTTCGAACAGGGACTCACCTTCACATTGACAAAGAAAGAGACAGGGGCCAGTGTCATCTGGGACTGCATCCCACACAAGACTAGCATACATGGGGGCAAATCAGGGTGAGTGAGGGCAGTGGGAATGTCCAACAGAGCTGAAGGCCATGCTAGTCCATGTATCTGAGATGAACTGTCTTCTTTTTGTCTCTCCCAGGAGTGGTTACCCAGATTCCACTTACTTGACTCGCTTGTCTAATGTCTTGACTTCCTATGGGATTGAGGAGCCACCAGCCGAGTCTTGAGAACAAAAGCAATCTGAGGAGGAGTTCTTATGTAGTTTTATATTTAAAAAAATATTTTATGTGGTTAGAGCCACTTGCACTATATTTGTATTATGATTTGTACCAGGTTATATTTTTATGTTTGAAAATCACAATGTCTGATAATGTATATAGAAACTTTTATTTTTTTAACATTCCCTTTTAACTGTGACAAATGTGACAACCACCATTGTTTTTAATTATTTCCAATAACATTCCTGAACATTTTCTCACAGTTTCATGCACAATATTCTGTTTTGTGTTTATAGTACTGTATAATTACACCTTCTGTACCATCCTGTACCATAGTTTTAGGAATCATGTGGTTTTGGGAAAAAAGGAGGTTATTTGTGGAATATTGGGGAGTAAATAAAACATTTTTTACACTGTCAAAACCTGCGTTGAGAGAATTTTAGAAAGGGCACCGAAATAAAAAAGCACATTTCCTGACGTTTTGTTATGCTTTTTTTATTAGTCCTGGAAAACATGTAAGGCATATGGTAACATTACACACTGAAGCGTTACAAGCTCTAGAGGCCATGTGGACAACATGGCACCACGCAGTAAACCCAGAGTCAAGCACAGAAGCAGCATCAATTCAAAGGGTTTAAAAAACAAAGTTGAGACGAGAAGAGTGTTTGCAACCAGGAAGAAAAAAAGAAAAGAAAAACACAAGAAAGGACAGAGTAGAGGAGAACTCGCTCAGAAATCAACCTGTTGGGTATGCCTTGTAGAAAATTACCAGTGGTGATTGAACACTAAAAGGAAGTGTGTCGTGGGATGGATGTGAAGCGAGTTTCTGAAGCATTCCCAGAGATAGGTTAAGGTGTATCATGAATGTACCAGCTGGCCATGACAATGCCCATGCTGAAGGTGAGGACAGGGAGTCAGGTGGCACAGGGGGCAGTGGATTGGCTTCAGTTGGCAAATTCACGCGACTGGAAGGGCATTCTCCTCCCTCACACCACACCACTACATGACTTCTAAACTACTGAGGAAAGAGAAGATGAGCTGTACATAAACACATGCCTTATTTTCTGGTTGACTACACATGCATCTTAGTACTGTACATGATAAGCCCAGCTAGGATGTACTTTCGTAGCATCTCTGCAATGTTTCTGCGATCTTGCTGCATTGCAATACCTTAAAAATAAATGCGAAGGAAACAATAGCTGCAGGCAGATGTGGCTGTTTGGGTTCTCAGTGTGGATGAGTGAACACAGTGGCTCTGAATTTGGAAATAACCCACTGACAGAGCCTCTCCTTTTGACTTGGAATACTAAAGCTTACATCAAACATGGATGTGTGAAGGAAAATTGGTGTGGAAGTTTGTGCAGTGAACTGTGACACACAGTGAAACAGAAAGATGTTGTGTGTGTTAGTAAATGCTAAATTAAGTGGTTTCTTACATGAAGAAAACTGCTGTTTGGAATGACCTGAGAAACCATATAAAACAAAGAAATTCACCTCAAAACTAAATGATGGGTGTCTGTGAGGGGCTTCAGCTATACAAGACAAGACAGACAGTAGAGTAGCTATTGGAAATACTACACTCATTGTCTTAGTGCATTTTTCAGACCTAAAACTACGAGTGTTGATTAGTAATATCAAATCTAAAACTGCAAATGTTCAGAATTTATTTTTATTTTTTACTTTGAAACACTGTTTTTCTCCTGTGCATCTCTGAGTTGGTAAGTACTCTTGCATAAGTGTCTGGAATGACTGGGAAACCATTTCAAGATGACATACACTGCAGCTTCATCGTGGTGGTGCTCTCAGGCAGCAGGCCATCCGCCCAACTGATTGAGTTCATCTCAAAGGCATCTTAGCCCAAAAGAAGCAAGGGGAAAATGTTAAAAGAAAGAAAAAAAAGATTCTAATCTGTTTTCCACATGCTGATGCATGCATGCAATTTCAAATTCCAGATGTCAAAGTAATGTTTTATTTGCTATGTATGTGTATGGAGAGAGAAAGCAGTGATATGGAGAGGCGTTTTGGCTGGCTGCTGCTGGACTGCGACTGTTGCACCGGCCAAGTGGCTCTGCGGATGCAGCACAGGAAAAGAGGAACGTCTCTAATAATTCTTGAGTGAACTAAGATAGTTGTAAAGCGGAAATGTTGTGTCTGGGGCAGGCGAGGGCTGAGCTATGATCAGCCAATAAGCTGGGGTTTTGCACAGCTGTGTTACACTATTGGCATCCCTGCACAGCTGTGTGAAAACATCTGCTCCCTCACTTGCTATACAAGCCGTTTGGAAATAAACTGAAAGAAACAGAAATCCATAGAGAGGAGAACCATGGAGCTTTGGATTTGGACGGGTTTACAGATTTCCGTGAATCTATATGTCTTTTGGTGGAGTTTTGAACCGTTAATGCACCATGTCCACTTCCTTTTCACTGCGATGCTCATATTGTGGTTGTAAACACTTGGGAGGAATCAACCTGTTGTGGTCGACATGATGTGGTAAAACACAGTGAAAAGGGTGTAAATATGGAGGGAGGCGCCTCGGACTGAGGTAAACTGTGTGCAAGGAGAGAGGCACAGTGCAGGCCTACGCTTGAGCAAGACTGCAACCAATCAAAAACTACAAATTGTGTTAAACCTTTTGTAAACTGCTGCAAAAATTCTGTCAGCACCCGTGAGCATTTGGGATACAGATCTGTCACACTAGGAAAACTCTTGCATTTTCATTTTTCTTCAAGGTTGATGGAAATGCATCCAAAAACAGAATTTTCTTCATATTTTTTATGCACTGTTAATATTCAAAGCATCGACAGAGGAATATACATACAATTTGGCACACATGGTTCGGACCAACAGAAAGACTTTATCACATTTAAAAGGAGTGCAGGTTGGCAGGTCCCCACATAAAGAGTATGAGCTTTGAACTTTAAACCCTTGGATAACAAAACAAACAAACAAACGAAAATATAAAGGTAAATTAAAATAACATATTAAGTAAAACATCATTTTTTTTTTTTTTTACTGAAGCGTTTGTTTCTCACATGGCACTCAGAACAGAAGCACCGTCCACAGGTTCACAAAGGGAGCCCAGCAGATTAGAACAGAACACTAACCAGAGGCTGACAGGACACAGTCACTCCCCACACCAGCGTGGCCGTCGCACTCCAGCCCAGTTCACTCTACCCTGCTCCACATTTTACTTCCCACAGTCAAGGATGGATGAATGCTTTGATTTTAGCTGCCACCCAGGAGAAGTTGGCCCAGGCAGGGACTGGCAAGCTTAAAATGAGGGGACCTTTACATGAATGTGTGTGTTTCTATGTGTGTGTGTGTGTGTGTGTGTGCCACCTGTGCTTTCAGTGAGCTTCAGCAGATACACTGGGAGTGGATGATGGGAAACAGGCTGCAAACCTGGAGCAGAATCAAAGCCTGCGTGGGACTGGAGTGCGACTGCCATGCTTGTAAGTGCATTAAGATCAGCGAGCAGAGTGCAAAATACTAATACCAACTGTCCTCATAACACAGGCCTCTTATCAGACAGGAGAGAGAGAGAGTAAGAAGGGAGAGTTGGGTGGGAGCTACGTAATACTGTAGCAGAGTAGTGTGAGGGGGGGGAAATGTGGCAGGGGTAGGGTGGGTGCTTTTAAAACCTGACAAACGACCTGAGGACACACACACATCTTCACACACAATGGCACACCACACACAGCACATGAGGGAGGCCACTCATGCTAACACAACAACTTTTTTTCATTTTTTTTTTCAAACATTTTGTTTTTCGTTTTTTACAAAGTCACTAGTCACCATCTGAGTCTGAAACATTGAGGCCGGGCTCACGGACAGGCGGGCGGGAGGACGGGCAGGCAGGTAGGTAAATATCTAAGGTTTAAAGTCGATATCCTCCTACATGAAAGATTTAAGTCCACCCAGTGGGATTTTTGATGAAATACTAAGGATTATACTTGAATGGCATTACACCAGTGAGACAAAATTCATACTGGCCATTAGGGGGAGCGGTGCACTGTTTTAACCAGCATACTGTTAATTGCACACATTGTCAATACTCGATTTGAATTTCAGACTGGTTTGAACAAACTGTTTGGTAGTGCAAGACTAAAAGACCTTAAAAACTGCTCCACCTCTTTACTTTATTGCCTAAAATCTCTAATACATATTCCACCTGTTGAAACACTGGTCGACAGCACCGACTGTTGGCAAATATAGAGTTAGGGAGGCAGAAAAGAGAGACACAGGGAGAGGGAGTCAGAGAAACAGACCACAGTGCCTTCTCTGACGAGCCTGACGCCTGTTGCTATGCCGACCATAGAGAGGGAAATGGAAAGAGGAGGGAGAGAGAGAGAGAGAGAGAGAGAGAGAGAGAGAGAGAGAGAGAGAGTAGAGTAGAGAGAAGAAGGGGAGGCGAAGTATGGACGCCAGCTTGAATTGAATTCTCCTCTCTCAGGTCAGGGTGATCGACAGGCCAGCGGTCGCTGTGAAAGGAGCAGAATGCCATGGAATGCCTCGAGGAGGATCAAGGAGGAAGAAAGCCTGATCCTGAGGGAAAAGGACTGGTATTCACCTTCTTAACTTGCTCATTTCAGATGCTTCACTGTCTCAGCATGACAGTGCCTCTTTCATCACATTCAGAGTGTGTATGTTTGTGTGTGTGTGTGTGTGTGTGTGTGTGTGTGTGTGTGTGCATGTGTGTGTATTTGTGGCTTGTTTGAACAGAAACAAATTCTCTCTTAATTGGCACTGCGCACTTCTTGCCAACAGTTGGTCAGCTAGAAAAATCTGTAACTAAGGAGAAGGAAGCTGAGCAATGATTTCTGCCTCCCTATTCAACACTGCACAGAAAGGCTCATTATGGGGGAAATTCATATTCAGGCAAGTGCAAAACTGCTGTCACTGTATTAACTTCGCAGAAATGTTGTGGGAACGCACGCATTACGGAGCCGTTTCCCCTCACGACTGATGAAGAGGGGCACAAGCTAAGGCCGTATAAATGATAACCAGTGTTAGGCCTTTGTTGCATTAACACCATTGTCTGAGCTGTCAAACATCATGATCAAAACCATGATGCAAATATCTCCAGGAGAGGTGGGGTGCATCAGCCAATCACAGGCATCTCTGACTCATCCTCAGTGACATAACTAAGCGTTGGACACTAAGAGAGCAACGTGTGGGTGGGTGTGGTTCTCCGTTTATCTGCCTGTCTTTTGTGCCTGTCTGTGGGTCCGGCCCGTGGATGGGGTGGGGGGTGGAGGTGGTGTGGGAGGCGGGGGGTGTGGGGGGTGTTGGGGGTCGGGGGGACTCAGCACAGTGAGGGGGGAAGAGGAGGTGGCAGGTGGAAGTCAGAGCAGAACAATTTAGCACAGTGGGAGTTGAGGTGCGGAGGGGACATGGGGGTCGCGGGTGGGGCCAGAGTGCGAGCAGGGATTACGGTTGTCAAGGAAACAGTAATTTGCCCCAGGCCTGGACTGTACCCACAATCCTCCACGGCTCTCTTGTCATTCCCAATAGCAAAAATCTTTCGAGTGTTGCAATAAGTGTGGCGCTTACAAGGTGTTAAAAGTGATTGGAATTTTTTTTTTTTTTTGCGTTGAAGGCAAGAAAACGGGATGGGGGGGGGGTGGAGCCAGGCCTGAGTAATCACTGTCATTGAGGACTCGAGAGGGTGAGACGGAGGGGGAGGGATGAAAGATCGACAGTGGTGTGATAATATTGTAATCTGCCCTCCTAACTCCTTCCCATCCTTGCTTACCCTCCGCCCCCACCCTCCCACCCCATCCATCTCCATCTCCATCCTTCCCCCAACCTCACCATCCCACACCATAACCCCTGCTCCCAGGACACAAACTCCCTGCTGGTCTGCTTGACTATCCATCCCTCCCTCTCACTTCTCCTCCTTCTTGACCTCTTCCTTCTTCTCCTCCTCCTTCTTCTCCTCCTTCTTGGGCTCCTCTTTCTTCTTGTCGTCCTTCTTCTCCTCCTTCTTGCCATCGTCCTTCTTCTTGTCATCCTTCTTCTTGTCCTCCTTCTTCTTGTCCTCCTTCTTGTCCTCCTTCTTGGGCTCCTCCTTCTTCTCCTCCTCGGGCATCGGCTCTGTGGTGAGGATCACTTTGCCGATGTTGTTCCTCTCCTGCATCTTTCTCATGGCATCGCCCACCTGGGGGAGGGATAGAAGGAGAAAGACATGATGAAGGAGTGAAGGGTGAAAGGAGGACGAGGAAGATTTTAAATACACTTGTCATTGAGAAAAACCTATTAAGGGTAGTAGCCAGCTTCTCCTGCACCAACACATACCCACAGCAATATGAGCCTCCTCACATTCTGTGCCTCTAATCTTTTGTTTTGATACCACAGTCTGGAAACACATTTTACAGGCTTGTGCGCCTCAAATATCACTTTAATATGCAGTATATGAGAAACTACATTTGTTCAGATGAGACTTTAATAATCTTTGAGGGGAAATGAAATTGTCGCAGCAGCATAAGCTAAGAGGAAAAACAGAGGATAACAGAAGGATAACAAAATAAACGATGCAAATCTGCAAACAGATACTTTCTGTTTTAGAATGTATCAAGTATATAAATATAATGAAATGTTTATGATTATAAATAGGCAAGAAAGTACAAAGCTCTTTTTCTTTTTGTTGCATAATTTTATTTAATATCCCATTGCAACCAAACAACACATTTATTTTAATGAGAAAATGATATCATCTCTTCATTAAAAGGTGTTCGTCGTGCATTTTAAGTGAAGGACAGAAATGAGGGGGGATGAGGCAGATTTCCTGGAGAGTGAATGATGGAGGGTAATGTTGGATGTGAGACCTTGGTTCAATCCTGGACTTGTTTGGATGTCGGTTCTAGTAGGTGCAGTTTAATCGTGGCTCTAATGTCAATTCTTATGTCATAATTGTTGTAAAATGAACTTGTGATGTTTTCTTTTCATTAAGCAGTAGCAGAAATAGGACCAATAAAAGGATTCATTTTCACTCCTTCCTCACTGATGGAAGAGACCACCGCAGATGTAGCAATCAATAAACCACTGCTATCAGATAGTGTTACATCTTAATATTAAAGGATAGGGTCACATTTTCTGAAAACCCTATCCACTGACATGCCCACATATGCAGCTAAACGTTTTTAATCATTGTACAGGTTCTTCCTGTTCATACCGGCTGTAAAGAGATCATTTCCTAACGCGATTCCAATGTAGGTGTTGGGAGACAAAATCCATAGTCTTTGTTCTGGTTCTTGTAGATAATATGAGGCTTCAGCAGTATGCGTTAAAGATACTAAGCAGCTACCTTCCAAAGTTACACGTGGTTTATGTTTTTATCTCTCTATTGCAGGTCATGTCGTTAAGTGAGACAAAGAGGGACTTTTGCTGTAAACCCTGAAAAGAGTTGCGTAAATCAGACGGCTAAAGCATCACATTCATTTCAGCTCAATTTAAGAATGGATTTTTGTGGATTTCCCTCTTCTTACATTGAAATTGCTGTATGAAAAGATTTATTCATAGCAACAATGGACAGGGGGAACAATTTCAGCAACCAAAAACCTTTTCCATTTACATATAGGCATGTGAGTTTTTTCGCATGTTTCGGAGCCACCGTAGTTTCTCCTTTGCACTTGGAAGGGGAGATTTGAGTTGTGATCTGCAACTAGGTGGATGCTACTAAATCCTGCACACTGGACCTTTGAGATAGACTTGGAAAAATGTGAACCTATCCTTTAAAGGCTCTTATTCATTACAGGTTAATTGCCTTTGACACAGCACTTATCCGGTTAAAACTGTGGTAAATTTACAAGTGGCCAATTTGACATCAATCACTGAGATCTTTGTACAGAGTCCAAATTTGATCAAAGTACATTTTCTGTAGCGTGTGAAACAATGAGATTTTTTGTGACATAAAAGCTGAAATTAATGCGTTTACTTCTGAGGACAGACATTCTTGTGTTGACAGCTAATCAGCCAAACCCCCACGGGTGGGAGGTGATGGATCGACCAACTTGGACCCACTGACTGTCAATCATAACACGAGAGGAGAATCCCAGCCAGACCAACCTCACCCTCCTTTTGACCACCGAGCTCTGTCCACTGTCTGTTCCTGCCGCCATCACTTCCCCCTCCCTCCATCCTCCAATCCCCCTCATCGTGCAAAGCAGGCAGACCACCTAACGACCAATGCCACGGCAACAGGGCCATCTCCTAGCAACGTAAAGCCTGGCTGAAACGTGGCCCTGGCGACTCAGACACATGGGAAAGAGGGGGAGTGTGGGAGTTCGAAGTGAAGGGAGGGGGAGGGAGGAGGGGAGATAGGGAGCAACTGGTGTCCTTCAGATGAGGAGCACGCCTCAGCGAAACTAAAAGGGAGGGAGGGCTGAGTCCAGGAATTATATGAATTATCTTCAATGTGAATGAAAGTCACAGTGAGAGCGTCTGAGGCTCTTTTTCGACGACTCCACCCACTTCCACCCTTCACTCTCTAAGATCTGTCAACCTCTGGCTCCCAGGCATCTCGGACTCAAGTGTGCTATTTGCGGCTACAGACATGACCATTATCCTCTAGGGTATCAGTGCAGATGTAGATAATGAAGCAAGGGAAACCACAGGAGGGAGGGATAACGCTAATTTTTAAATATTGCCCAAGAATTCAGATTTTTTTATTGAGTATTTGAGCAAAAATAACAAAAAGTGACAATGGAGGAAGGGCTGTAGTGGATGGAGTCAGGGCGTGGCATTTGTACTCATGTCGTAATAATTGATCACTTATCGAATTAAATATCTCCCAACAGTGTTTTGTCTTTGATGCTACTACAAGCGTCAGTATTTAAAGACGTGCACTTGATACTTTACACGCCGACCTCTTCAAGCCAGACTGAGATATACCTTATTCTCTCCTGTTTTTCCACACTCCTTCCATGTCTCTTTCTCATACATCAGGGCCCCTCCCTAAGACAGACGCACACACTGACTAAAGGATGTCACCATAGCAACAAGAGAGAAAAAGCAAAAAAGATGCACTGTGAGGAGGGAGAAGGAGAGAATACAGCGAGATGGAGAGAGACAGAGAGGGAGTCAATAACCTAAAGACAGAGAGAAAGAGTCTGATATAAAGAGCAGACAGATGGAGAGGCAGAGAAAGAGCGTCAGATGGCGGAGAAAGACAGCGGGTGTTTCTCTCTGGCCACAGTCGCACAGGCCAAAATACTGACCAGCTCCGACTTTGACAACAGAAGATGTCAGCCTCTGACTCCCTCTTTCTCTCGGTGTTTTCACACTCTCTATTCATATCTGTTAGCAGTGTTAATTTTGTCAGCAACAATCTGATTCTGTCTGGCTGAGTGAGTTATGCTCGAGGAGACACAGTGCTTCTTGTGGACAAACTTTGCCTGTTGAATGTTGAGCCTTATTGAATCCGAGCCACACCCAGCTCCTGCAGATCGCACTGCAAAACACATACAGACCCTACTGGCATTCACATAAGTTCTGGGTGACTGGGTTGTAAGCGCATGGCATAAAAATGGATGTAATTCAGGTGTAAATGCATCCCTGTCACAGTGAATCATCTGGACATGCAGACTGAGGTGCACAGGGGGGCTTTTAGTCCCACTAACAAGCAGGCATAAATGGACCTGAAATTCACACACAAAGGCTGTGTGGAGATACAAAAAAAACAGCAGTTCAAATAGTAAAATACAGGTAAAAAAGATATTTTGATCAATTGAATATATGCTGTCAGCATTTTTTATCATGATATATATTGTGATAGATAAAATTTACTGGGCAAGCTACTACATTACATTGCCTGCAATGTCATTGTCAAATATCATCAAAAAAAACAATACATCTTCATATCTCCCAAAACTAATATAAGAAAGACACTGTGAGAGAATGTGGCAACCACTGTTTTGATGGCAAATAGAGAATGCAATCAGTCACACAATAAACAAAAAGTGAGCCAAATTTAGACACAAACCTGCTCAAGGTGCCAAGTAGAGTCAATGCGGGGCTTGATCTTGCCATCCTTGTAGAGATCCAGGACGGTGTTCATGGCCTGGGTGATGAGCTCCATCTCCCCGTCCAGGTAGCCCAGGTGGAAGCCGCACACCGACTTGTTTCCCTGGATCAAGCTGAGCGTGTGGATGGAGAACTGATGGTACCAGTTCTTGGCCACGGCAAGCAGGTTCTTCTTCTGGCCCGCTAGCATGTTAGCCGCACCTGACAGAGAAGGAGGGTAAAATCCCTATAATTTAAATCCCTATAATTGAAATTGCATAACTGATTTACTGGAGGGCTGGTTTATCTTCTACCAAATTTCAAAATTGCCAGAAAATAATAATTTTATATAATCAAGAATTTTGATCATTTGCTGGTTTCTGCTTCTTAAAGTTGTCTGTTTTATGTCATTGTGAATGGAATATCTTTGTTATTTATTTATTTTTGGGGGTTTGGACTGTTGGTTGGAAAAACAAGCAATGAAAACATCATCTTGGGCTTTAGTGGAGTCTCATTTTATCTAATTATATGACATTTTATGGGCCAAAAATAAGAGCCTCATTAATTATTTGGCAACATGTCAAATCAACATTAAGTCCTGCCAGGTGCCTCTACTCATGAGTTCTGGTTTAGATCTTTGCTCCGCCTCTCTTTCTCTGTACACTCACACTCTCACCTACGCCTTCCACCCTGAAAACCTTTTTAGCAGTTTGGCTCTCACTGTCACCACATCCCCTTCTTATCCCCTCCTTCTGTGTTCACACAGCCTCCTATGGTCTCACTGTCTCTCTCCCGGGGGAAACAGGGGACACAAAGCATGCTCTGAGAGAAGAGAGGGACCCAGCCTGCTACATTCAGACACATTCCAGGTTTCGTGTGGATAGAACGCCCATTGTTCCGCCATTGCATACTTCTGATAAGCTGGAAGAGGAGCAGCCAGCACCGAGGGACCGGGAGGGTGGGGTGGGGCTTGGGGGGGGGGGCTTCTGTAGGGGTGAGAGAGGGTGAATGGGCAAGGGTGGGGGGCACCATGCTGGGTAGTGGGTTTTTGTGCAGCATGCAAAGGAAAGGCCCTGTTCTCCATGGATGCCGACCCCGCCCACCGTTGCATGCATGCTGGTTCCAGATTGGCATCGCAACAGAGCAAGGGTAAAGGCCTTCCCACGGATGACACACAGCACACTGAGGACATGGACTCTCTGCAGAGAGGTCACACTGCCCACCAGGAAGCAGCTTTATTCTCTGGCAAGTTATGGGAACCCACAACTATTTCATGTACAGTATTAATTTGCGTATACTCCAGGAGTCACTAAAAATGACGGCAGCTGCTTTTTTCATTTTTGTAATAAAGTGAAGTAATATTATTAATAACGTATAGTTTCAGTAAGAATAAAAATGCATTCAGGAATAGCCTGTTCGTGGTTATTTTTGTCAGCTGCTAGCTTGTGCAGGTAGCAAGCCATGAAGTCATTTTATAAGGTGACCTTACCATGCTGTGCAGCGCTGCCCACGAGCTTGACTAAACACGTTTGGTTTTAGGCATTACATAAGAAGTTCTGGTAAATTTAAAAATGAACAATCTGGAGAAGCTTGGTTGGAGAGATACATATAGCCTCGGGGGAAGCTCTGCGTGAGAAGTCTTTTCCACCGCAGTTACAAGAAGTTTGTTTGTGGAGGTTGAGGCTTCATTTTTATTTGACTTTGGCTCATAAAAGTGGTTCTGAAGCTGATTATTTTGTGTGGAAAATGGCAGTGATTGGTGAAATTGGAAAGCATTCTTCCAGACTGACCATTTTAAGCAAGTCTATTTGCGTTAACTCTTGCCTATTCTTGCCTCTCTGACTCCTGGAGGGGCTGCCTTGTATCCCTAATGATTCAAATATCACTGCTCAGTCTTGGCTCTAAGCTGAAAATAAGTGATGATTTCCCACTACTTACCATAGGTGATAAGTTTGCCCATAGGCTTCAGCAGGTTGTAGGCCTTATGGGTGTCTGATCCTCCGAGAGGGTCCAGTATTATGTCCAGACCTGGAGCAGAAGAGAGAAGAAGGGGACAGTTATCACTGATCTGAATTCAGTCAGAGCAGCCTGCCAAGTCGCCTCAGCAGCCCCCTCCGCATGCCAGAGTTCACTAGGAGTAGCGAGTGTAGCCAAGTTGTGCCATGTTTACACGAAGAGGAACCAATGAGAATGCCAAGAGAGGAGAGGAGGAGAGCGGGTGAGATCTTACTTGTTTTATGTTTTTCATTCTTGTCAGTGATAAGACAAGAGGAATAAAATCTCCCTCCGTCGTTGTCCATTCCAATCATTGGTGGAGAGATTAATAAACCAGCCTCTGAACAGATGGTAAAGAACAACCTAACTCTGAAGATTTCTTTGTGGCTTATTAACGTCTGGCCATGCAGGCTTGGACTTAATGATGTTCCTTTGAGCCTGAGGGGACTCCGCAAATTGGGCTACCCCTCCTTGCTCCGCTAAACCCTGGTTCTATTGATTGTGGGAGGCTCACAGCAGGACTCTGCCTTGACCACAGCACAGATGAATTGACGGAGAGCCAAAGACAGAGGGAAAGGTAGCGAGCAGGGCTGCACATTGATCCAGGCTTCTAATTAGATACATTCTGTCCAAAGTGTCAGTTCTCGCTCTCTTCCTATCTGTCTCTGTAATGTCTATCTGTCTCGCTCCATGCTACAAAGAACAGAGACGGGTTTTAGAGGGGACTATGAAATGAGCCTCCAGCATAATAACAGTCTCCATCCTGCTAGGAACACAGCAGTAGGCGAAAGAAAAAAAAAACAGGAACTGGACGTTATTTCATTTTGCTGAAAAGCAGCATTTTGTGTGGCCCTCTTAGCGAGCCCAGGGCCACATCTACATAAAACTCTGCAGATCCATTATTGATGGTGATGAGAATCCAAACAGTCGCTGCTTAGTGAAACACGTTTGCTTGGTAGGAAACTGTCAGTCCAGAGTACATGGCAGCCAGCTCTTCTGAGAATTGTGACATGAGAAAAAAGTGTATGAAAATGTCTGTAGTTTGTTCAACACTGATCAACGAATGCTGCAGTAGCACAGTATTGCTTTGTGCCACTGGGAATAAATCAATCTGGACTATTTGCTTCATGAAACAATCTCAGTAATAGCATGATTATAGTTCATGTATTTCCAATCCCTGTACAAACAAACTCCAAATTTAGAGCACTTATCCTAGTGCAGATGGCCAAGTTTCTCACCTTTCGGACTGATCTTGCGGACTTCCTCCACATAGTCCTTGGTGCGATAGTCGATGGGATGCGTGACTCCGCCCTCACTGATCGTCTCGTGCTTGCTGGCTGATGCCGTGCCGAACACAGTGACGTCCTTCACTGTCTTGCACAGCTGAGTGGCAGCAATACCCACACCACCTACAGGAAGAGTTTATAAATAGTTATGAAATATACATTTCAGGGCATGACTTGCAATGGATTCTACTGCAAAGACTACTGACAAGGATTCAGATTCAACTGAATATGATTGTTCAAAGCAACACCAACACCTACATAAAACTCAGCTGAACAGAGCAGTTGTCAAAGGCACACAAGAATTCCCATTCCACATGTATAATCTATGGCAGGTAAATGTGATTTGCATTATTTATTGTGCCAGACAAGCCAAGTCAATAACAGCGTGGATGTGTTTTACTCGAGGGTATGTAAAGAGCGCATTAAATACAATCACATTACCCCGACTGGCCTGCAGAGAATAGACACCCACACACACATCCAACTCTGGAGAAAGTAGCCATTGTAGCTCAAATGACACATCTCATTTTTTTGGTTCTCTTATTCAAGACAACCTGTCTAAAATTCCACAGGACAAAAAATATAGCCAAGGTATCTGTTTTGGTAGGAAAGGAGGGCTGGATGACATTCTATCGCAAATTACATAAACACAGATCCTTATAACCGTGCCAGCTGAAATCACAATGTGCTACATTGTCCAAGATAACTTTTAAAGACAAACTGCTGTGAGACTGTGCGTTTCGGTAGATATTTCGGATATCTGTGTTTGTGTTCACTGTATTTGAAAGTGTGTACATAGTTGTGGCAAATGCCTCGGCCAATGTTTGCTTAGGCAGCCAGAGCAAGAAGTAATAGGTTACTGATAAGCAGTGGCTTGTTTGAAATGGAGGCTGACTTGAGGACTTGAACTGAAAGGCATCCATAAAGGTCATCTATGCCTGACCAAGTAAAGAGCACGTCTTATCTGATACCAGAGAATAAAGCAACACAAAGCAACATGTGCATTTACATCCATTTTTAATGGCATAGCTGAGCTGCCAGAATGCCGGACAGGTTTGGATTAAATGAATGATGAAATCATGATTTGTCTGCTTACATAGGCAACCAAACCCAAACATTTAATATGCACACCCAGTAAGATAATCAGAAGGACAGGAAGCAGGCACATGCACGAGAAGGCCTCTGCACATTTGATTAGACTTGTGCAAAAGTAACCAAAGAGGAAGATCTTTTTTTAACCTAGTACATTTTGGATTCTATCACGTGATCAATAAAAAAAATTGTCTTCCTTTATCCATGTAATGAGAAAAAGCACACACACACACACACACACACACACACACACACACACACACACACACACACACACACACACACAACAAGTTGCTGTCCTATAAAAACCATGTCTCTCCAAAATCTCTTTTTACAAGCTCAGGAAAGCAGCGCTGTTTTCAGCTGTGTGACAATGCATTTTAGGAAAATCCATTAGGTTTTTAAATGGTTTATTTAGCTTAAGATGAAGGAGAATTGTCTCAACCCATGAGGGTACACTTAATCCCTCAGTTTATCTGACAAAATCCCCAAGGCCAGATATACAGTAGATGGTTTCCTTGGAAAGCTATGTGCTTCCTGTATAGTCTATTTTGCCTACTCAATGTAACTGGACAAGTAATAGCTTATTTGTTAGTTTAATTTATTTTATGATGTTTGATTATGTATATCTAACAAAAACGCTTTGTCAGAATTATCATGTCCTTATATTTTTTGTATAGGTAGAACATCCGATGACACTGATGCACCTCTGGTCCCTTTAGCTCAGCAGAAAAATTATTCTGAGCCAGTGAACCACTCGAATAGCACAATTTCCTCAATGACATCCTGGCAGCAATATCACATAAAAATAGCACTGACACTGGCCAAAAAAATGCACTGAGATGTCATAACAAGATTAATGACAAATCAAATTATGTATTAATTTCTGACCGCATGAGAATGAAAAAGTTGAGCCTTTTATTTCTAATTTTAAAAAAGTGCTTTGCCACAGAAAATGGTCCCTTAAGGAAAAAAGAATACAACCCCTTCCCTTCCCACAATTTCAGAATACAGACCAAAAACATTTCTGATCTGTGGTTCTCGTCTGAGAGCTTACATCCATGAGAGATGAATAAACGGCTCTGCATTACTATGATCACGCCTGCTGACACAGAGGGGAGAACTGATGAGAAAACAATATCAAGGCTGTTTCTGTTGGATGTGAGTGTTGTTGCGGCTGCGATATAACAGCACCATCTCTCCTTGTCCTCAGTGAGAAGTTTGTGTTGCCAAGGAAACCTCGGCCAAATTGCCGGCAATGACTGAGCAAAGGGAGCCATTTTGTTTCATTGACTGCTCTTCCGTCGGGCATATGAGAGATTCTCACATAAGAGAGTTTGATGGCAACCACAAGTTTTTCCATCAGTTTTTATTTGACAGACTGGGTCATACCTGCCTCTCAGTAGCCACCACTCTTTGGATAGAAAGCCACCTGTATGCATGTGTCAATGTTTTTGAATGTTCAGACAGCTTAAAGAGCAGTAGATTTATGCTATACGGCGAAATGTGATAACAAATGTACCTATCATGTACAGTAAAAGCAAATGTGCATCTGTTTGCCTGTGACACATGTTTGGTGTTTTACACAAGAACATGAGCAAATGTTTATGTGAGGTAGAAGGGAAGTTAAAAGAAAAAAAGAAAAGGTGAGAAAATGTTGAATATGCATTGTCTGAGTGGGGGTTAAGAGCTGTTTTTACTAAATGGCTCTAGTAGCAACCCTCACATACAGGTGTGAAAAAGTGTCCATCAGGATGATGCATCCATTAATCCCACGTACTTACAGCCAGCCACTCACATATTAATATTTAACCAACGCTGCTGTCATAAACACAGTGATTCTCCTTCTGTTTCTGCTTTATGAAGTCAGTGAGAAACAACAGAAGCCTTTATTTTGATCATATTGCTGTCTTTTTAACTTAAAGAAACAAAGAGTTACTTTCCAATCTGACCTTAAACCATTACCTAGATGATACCTAGAACCAAAAATGCATTTTATATAACTTACATGCATTTCTAATCAAAGAAATATGGTGCCCTGGGAGGAAGAAGGTACCTGTTTTTGAATCCCCTGAGAACAAACTCCTGATCTGCCATCACAAGACTGCTGAGCCATGCCAAGAACCCCTCACTGCCCCCCACCTCTCTTCACAAGCACACACACACACACACACACAGTCACACACAGTCACACACATCCATACATACATACACAGATCACAAAGGAGAGAGGAACAGTCCTGCATGGCTACTGCCAGTATCAGCTAATCTTCACAAAAATGCACAGAGATTAAAATATTAACCTTTCATTAACCCAGTGCTTCAGTTCTCAGTGTGTCCTTGCTTTCTTGATTTATAGTTCTCCGTCTATATCTACTTCTTCAGACCATCATCTCTCTCTTAGTAGGGTTAAGTGTGATTTAAAACCATCCACTAACACTTACCCAATGCTCGGGGAAAGCAGCTTGAGCAAATTCTTGCTGCTAATTGCATTTGTTCTCCTCAAGATTCAATTGAATTGTTTACACTTGGAAATTAGGAAACGTCAAAAAGCGTCCACCTATCCATTTTGTTTTTCTCTCTCTGGATAGGACAGGATACACAGTGGGGTTTTGTCTTCCCCTGAATCCTTACATACTCGCATTTTGGCACAAATTGCACTTGGCTTCCATAACATGCCTGTTAGGAGAGAAGAGGAATTTTCCCCAAAACACAGTGGAATCCAGACTGACACTGAGGCCACTGTTATTGCTCCACACCCAGAGTTCAACAGCAGGGGTGGGTGGGGACATCAGAAATGTTTTTCAGATTTATAAAAAAATTAATGGGATGGATATCACGTCTTCCTTGTCCTGATTAATACATCTCTCAATCTACTTTCAAGCTGCGTCCTGACTGACAGCTCATGTTTCTTGTCTAAATAAAAATGATCTCACATCTCATTTGTGTGAGCCAGGCCATAATCTCAGGTATTAGTCGGTGGACGGATGGTGGCCATATGGCTACTGTCAACACCGGCGAGATGAGTGGTCCCTTGTCTCTAAGCTCTGTGTTGTTTTCTTGTGCGATTTCTTCTGCATTTATTTCCACATTTCCTCAAGGACTCTCGTCTTTCTTAACCTATCATTAGCCTGTGGTAGTGGTGGCTGACAAAGAATGAAATACAAACGTGGACCCAAGTATCTCTTCTTACCCAAACTTGCTGTGGCCGTGTTACAACATCAACAAGCTGAACCAAATAAATGAACATTTTATTGCTACTCTGCAGCTCAGAGTTCAGATACGAGCCCCGTAACAGTGATAGGAGCTGTGGTTGGCTGTTTGTGAACGTGTACTTCTGAGGTATTGCTCTGCATTATGTAACCTTGGTGTTTTTCTAGGATGACTGTGTAAGTGTGTGTGTCTGTGTGTCTGTGTGTGTGCGCACTGTGGGCCTGAAGAGCAGTTTAATGTGCTCTCTCTGATGGTGAATTTCTCTCTGTGCAGCATAGAGGAAGCCCATTTTTAGTTACTGGGTGAGCAAATTAAAAAAACATCCTTTGCTGTGTGTGAAGGTGGTCCCTGTGATTTCCTGAGTAAGCAATCACACAATGCTAACCAACACAAACACAGAAACACAGCATGCAAAAACACCGATAATATGTATCAATCAATATGTACTGACACAAAATGTATTTCTAACATAAACCACTTTCCTTCCTCCCATAAACCTGTTTGCAAAACGAAACACAAGCTGGTGCACAGTTGTTATGCTGGAGATTCACACACACACACACACACACACACACACACACACACACACACACACACACACACACACACACACACACACACACACACACACACACAGAAGCAGGTGTCCTGACACAGGTTTCACATACACCTGCGACTGTATGTGGTGGTTAGGGTGGGGGTGGGTTGGGGTCATTTGTCAACGGCTGCAGCAATGAGAGCGCGAGCAAGCGATGTGATTGGTGGGTTAGGTTGGAGGTTGCCCTGGTTTCCCTCTCCTATCAGTGCAGCTGATCTGC